GCTTTGCCTTTGGTTCCAAAACAAGACTCAGCCAGTGAGGAAAGAAAGAAACAGGCAGAGGCAGCTATTCTGGCTGGTACGCCTCAAAAGGGGACATGTGCCTGGACATTAATCTTGTTCCGGGAACTGTGTGACTGGGATGCTCGCCCGCCCCGTGTTTCTAATCTCCCTTTCTGACTTCCCTTTCTCCTGCCAGGCCCGTACTGTTAACGGGTCCGGAGGTGGGGAGTGAGAGTGATTCATTCCTGGTTTCCGTCATCGAACAGGCCTCGATTCCACCTTCACTCTGTTCATACCCCGCGCCGCCTTCCCGCCCCGCGCCCCGCGCCCCGCCGCAATTACTTCTCTGCACGCCATCCATGGGTCTAACGCTTTGTGCCTTTGGTTTTCTATCCAGGGGGACCCAGAGGAGGCGCCTCCTCTTGATGACCACCAGGTGGCGATCAAGCCTCAGGAGAAGCCCGCGGGTGTTGAGACTCGGAGCCAGAGGCCAGCGGTCACTCATTAGCCCAGCTGGAGACTCCTGGCCAGGACCGTTCTGTCTAGGACAGCTGTGGCAGTGGGAAACCCTTACAGCTCCAGCAGAACAGTAAATGGATGTTCGATTTTCCTCGGTTAATCAAAATCAAACATGTCTTTCCACCACTACTCGGGGTGGGGTGGCGGACGATGGAACCAATCAAAACTGGTTACAAAATAGACCCAAGGTCATTCTTGGGTTCTGTTGTTGAACGTCGGAAGTAGGCTGTGACTACAGTCTTCCCATGACTCCCCCCAATCAGTTCCTGTTGCTCTTCATGCTGAGAAAAAGCCTTTTTTCTGGACTCCTGGGTTTGTCTGTTTAGATTTGAATAGTCACCAGCATATGTCAGTGGGAACTTGGCTCTGGATTAAAGAATAAAAACCCTGGGGTGTGAAAGGGCTCACGTATTCCCTGCCCACAGCCATTTGTGCAGAGGCAACACTCATGACCTTTGAACTCTTCATCTCAAAGTTTATGGATAAAAGAGAAAGGACAGATTCTAGAAAATCATTTTTAAAATACACAAGAGGACTGTCTAAATCATAGGAGACCATGCCCAGCCCACACAGGAAAATGGTATTTGGAGGTAAATTCTAGGGCTCTGGCATAGGGTCGCTCCGGCACTGTGCCCACCTTCCCTTCTTTCTTTCTGCCTGCTCCACATTCACTAAAAGACTTACGGGAATTGTTTCCTCTCTAGAGTGTGCTTGAGAATAAATTTAGATACCCATCTATACAGGACAGAAGGAAAGACTGGGGGCGGTGGAACCCTAGCCTTCCGAGATTGGTGAATAGGAAGGCCCAGGTGCTTCACAGCAGCCCCACGCCTTCAGTACCACTGACGGGCACAGAGAGAGGGTCGGGACATCACAGCCAGCCCGGGGGCCAATTCCATGTCTTTATTTGGGCCCACTGCCTGGCATCTGCAGGGATGAGTCCCCTGGGGGTCCCGGTGGGCTATGAATGCTGCTGTTGCTGGCCGTCTCTGGAGGAAATGGGCACCTGGAAGTCTGCCATGCAGACCTATTTGGTGCTGGGGAGGTATCACTCAGAGAAGGCCTTCCCTGGAAACCCACTAGTCACAGTTGTGAAGTTTTCTTCCTCCCCAACACTTTCATCCTTTGGGGACATCTGGTCTCCAGGCCTGAACTTGGAGGTTGCTGACGTAGTTGTAGCCAGAAGCAGATCTCCAGGAGCTCCGCATCCTCAGAGGGGTTGTGAAGGAACCTGGGCTGTGCGACAGGCCTGGGTCTCTGGCAGTCCTTCCTATGCCATTGGGCAATGGGGATCTGATCCGTGCCCTGGGGTCCATGTAGCCAGAAGCTGAGTCATGCCCCATGACTCAGCATTCTGAGGCAAGGAAGAGGGGTGGACTCTTCTGGGAAGCACAAAAGGTCAGGGTGAAGGCAAGTCTTTGGGAACAGTATTAAAACTCTGCCACTTTACAGATGTGCTTTGGGGACTTGTAAGAAAAGTCATCTCGTCACATACTGAATTACTTTGAAGGAAGTCTTCAAAGCCAACAATTCTTCCAGTGCTTCCTCATTCCTTCAGGGGTACCTGATGAACTGTCCCACCCTCCCTGATCCAGGGCGCTTCTGAAGACCCCAGGAGGCAGCCGGAGCTTAAAGTGACCCATGGAATCCCATTAGAGTCATGGGGGCTTAATGCCCTTTCCCCAAAGCTCCCCTGGGGTCAACCTCTCTGCTTTCAAAGAGATACAGAAATAATCTTCTATTTGCACACTACTTAGTTTACAAAACATGTTTGTATAAACTATGCTTTTTGAGCTTGACAACAGCCTTGAGGGGTAATTAGAATGATTCTTATTTTTCACACGAGCACATCAAGGGTCAGAGTTTAGTGAAGGGCCCAGATGAGTTTGGAAAGGCGTCTGCCCTGTGCAGGAGCCTTGTTCCTTCTGCTTCGCCACATGAATAGTCCTCCAGGACGGAAAGCTGATGGGAATCCCCAGGCACTTCCTCCTTCCTGGAGAAGATGTGGAGCTGTGATTTTCAGGGGCCAGTGCCCTGTGCGAGCCAGCGGTCTCCGAGGAGTGCTGCTATCAGTGCGGCTTTCAGGCCAGCTCAGAGGGCAGGGCTTCTATGTACAGAGCCTACACTTGTCCCAGCCCAGGTGATGTGATACAGGCCTTGTTTTCATTTTATTTTCCTACTCTGCTGTCAGTGTATAGGAGGCAGCAGAAGTAAGTAGCAGGAAGCCTTTGTATCTGGTTTGCACTCTGGAGCTACGTTATCTGATGCACTGGCCTCTGGATACGGGGGTCTGGTAAGACATGGGAAAGAGGCTGTGGCAACTGAGGTGTGCTAGGAGTGTAAAGTGCGCTCTGGATGTAGTACAAAAAAAAGTAAACCATCTCATTAAGTGTACATTAATGATACACAATGTACCGGGGCAGTGCCCTTCGCGCCCAGCGATGATAACTTGTTTTCATTTTATTTGGAAACAATATTTCATATTTATTTCATATTTATTTCATATTTATCTTGGAAAGATATCTTGGAATAATGATGTGGATATTACTGGGTTAAATATAATGCATTATTAAAGTTAATTTTATCTACTTTTTAAAACTGTAACTACCAAAAATATTAAAATGCACGAGGCTCACACTATAGTTCTGTTAGGTAGGGCAGCTGTCTAGGCCTTACCAAATCGTTCAAAGAAAGCTGCACTCACTTCCATAGAATATATTCATAGGAAGCATGTTTTTCTCCCTGTTTCTATGAGTAAAGTATGAACTTCAGGGAAACGGTTCTTCCAAATACAAAAATACACATCTTTCTTCTTAGTGATTTAATATTATTACACAGGAAAAAAAGCACAACAACCATCAACTCAAAAGAGCAGAAAACTTCAGACAGGCAAGCATAGGATGGCAGAGGTTGAACTCCACGGTAGACCCATGGCCTATTGAGGTGTGACAACTCCCCAGGTGTGGGCATGAAAGGCAGACTGCAGGCGGCAGCATTTCATGGGGCGATCTGAAAGGTGAGAAGCCTCAGCATGAGAGGGACATTTTGACTTTATTTTTAAGGATTGTAAGGTCAGATGCACAAAAGCTCAGAACATGGCTGGGAACTGTGTGCTCAGGCCGCTGCTCTGTTGGCCTGAGTGTCCAGGCCACATCATGAGCCCCTGGCCTCACTCCCCCGGCACATCGGACACCCACTGCCCTGGGAGAGGTTGTCAGTCCTGGGTCGCTGCGCCTCTTGTCATGTGAGTAAATCAAGCTTTTCAAAACTGCACCCTTTCCCTGAATTTCCACACAGCTGGATGTCATTCTCACAGCACAGGCGACTTCTTTCTCATTTGCATATTCAGCAGACAGAATATTTGCAGCATGAGAGATTTACTACCGATGCTGCCAGGGAGACCCTTCTGAGTGTGATTACCATCACAGGTAAAGGAATATTTACAGGCCACATACCCACAGCTAATGCCTTGCACGGATTCTGCAGAGCAGTAGTAGGTCCTTACCTTTGTAGTTTGTTCAAACAATCTGATGAAATATCCTGCATAATTTTCTCCTCTTGACTGTGGACAGGACCTGTAACTACGATATCGCTCGCAAGGGTAGATTACCGGTAAATTAAATGGCAAAGGTGAAGGGATTTGGCAGCTATAATTAAGGTCTCTAATCACCTGACTTTGAGTTAATCATAAGGGAAGGGCCTGCCCTAATCAGCTGAGTCCTTTAAAAGACAGTCTAGAAGTCAGAGACTGAAGAAGTCCGAGGGATTCCAATCAGCACAGTTCTCCTACTGACTTGAAAGAAATAGTCATATTGTGGAGAGGGACCCGTGGCAGGAGACGGCAAGACACCCCTAGGAGCTGAGGGCCTCAGTCCCACAACCCAAAGGACTGAAATTCTGCCAAAAAAGCCATGAGCTTGGAGAAGGACTCCCTGGTGAGACCCTGAGCAGAGGACCCAGTTAAGCCATGCCCAGACTTCTGACCTACAGACACTGTGTAATAACAAATGAGTGTCATTTTAAGCCTCCAAGTTTGTCGTAATAAGGTACACAGCAATCGAAAATGAATACAGGAGATACGGGCTGTGTTGCCAAAGCTATCTGTGGCTGACAACCCCTGGGGCTCTGTTTTCATCTCTCCATAAGAATTCCAGCCAAGCCACCACAGTTGTGAGAACAAACATTTGTTTGTCCCAGAAAATTAGGTCCTAAAAAGCTTTACTTCAAGGACCCCTGTTTAAACCTCTGCAAACTTCTGGGTTCCACATGCTGAGGGGCAATGTGGATGATTGAGGAGAAGCATCAGCGTTATCAGTCAGCCAAGTTCAGCTGTGAGCTTCTGGCAGCCCCCACCCCCACCCCACCACAGACCTGGGGAACGGGAGGGATCATTCACTGTTTGGATCATGGAGTTAAATTGTGGTTGACAGTGGGGGAAGCCTGAGACAGCAACAGTAGCAGATTGCCAAAAGAGCAGACAATTTATATATTTTACCAGATCTTATAAAATATTTTATTGTTATAAACATGGAAAAGAACCGTAGATGTATACTGGCATATGAAGACATGATTTTCAATTCTAAGTTCTAATTTTAGAAACCTATAGCATCTCATTTCAAAGCTAACATCTTTGAAATGTTGAGACAGTATTTTCACCGACTTTTAAAAATACATCAGAAAGATCCACCAGAGGCCCCTCTTTCACTGTGCACACTCAGGGAATCCAGCTCCTGTTGGCCTCAGTCACTGGCTTCCTGTCTGGGATACAGAAGTCCCTGTTTGACGTCACCATCACTCGTCACAAGTAATACGCATTCCACCTTCTCAGCATTTCTACGGCCACCCTCATTTCCTCCCTCATTTCCTCTCGTCTTCTCAATGCTTGTGACTTCCCGTTCCACTCCTCTCAGAATAACTCTACCCCCTGCTTCTGCATTTACCGGTTGCTATAATCTTTCTCATCTCTATGTAACTTTTTCTTTAACCTTCCAACGCAGACCCCTCTGAAGTTTTCTACACAAACCACCAAAGGCTGTGACTTCCCATAGTGTTTCTTAATTTATGGACTGAGTAGCCTACATCCCCCAAAATCCATTCATCTTTATTAAGAAACAGGGAAGTGGATGGCAGACAAGTGTTCCATTCGAGAGCTGGTGTGTTCCACTGCACTTACAGTCTTCGCAGAGAATATTTCTGTAGTTTATATTAATTGCTTGCTTGTGAACGCTTCAATCTCACAATCTCTGAACCATTAGCACAGGTCCCTTTGCAAGAAACCAACTTAATGGATGGTCCCCTTCATGCAAGAAAATTTAGTTCAATGCAACTGACTTTACGCACTGAGAGAGTCAGGAACCTGGGGAAGCATGGGGCACTTTATAAGTGAAGTAGACAACACAGCTCACTTTGCACCAACATGAGAGTTAATGTTCCCTCTTCCTCTTCCTTCCCTGAGGAATTGCTGATTGAGAACTGGTGACCTCAGGGCCAAGAGGGGCCCCTGATTTCGTAAACTTTACAGATTCATGGATGGTCTCCCTTAGAGTTTTGAGTTCCACTGCTTAGTTTAAGATATTCTTGGCAAAGAGCAGAGGTTGAACTATGTGTCTTGTGGGAGGGCAGACAACCAACAAGTATTTCTCCAATTTTTTTTGTTTTCATAGCTTTCCTGGAATTTGCATCCAGTGGTGTGGCTCGTAAAGTGGGAGGCGCGCGCATGCCTGCGTGTGTATATGTGTGTAGTAAGGGAACGTGCCTCCATTAACGAATATGGGCAGAGGGCCAGGATCACATTCTATGGAACTCTGCCGAAGGTTCCTGCCATTGCATGGGTTCCTTTCACAATATCAAACACAATAATTCCCAAAGGACCCTTACAGAAGTGAGTGGAAGTTCAGTGTTTTTTGTCCCATTGTGTTTCTGAACATGAGAACCACAGCCTCCTCCTGAGTACTGTGCTTTCCTTGGCCATGCTAATGTTGTGCTATGACCCTGCCTCTGTTCTCCCTGGTCCAACCCCAGGAACCAGATCAGTCAAAGCTAGTCTTTCCCTAATGCCTAACTCTACTTCAATGGGTTCTCCAGGTTCTCAGTACTGAGCTCTGCCCAAAATGATCATGCCCTGGAGAATATCATAGCCTAACAGTCATTTCCTTTAGGGACTTTAAATAATGAACTCTTCAGTTAGAATACTGAAGTGACAATTTTCAGGCACATGTGCGAGTCAATGTCTATGTCATTCTGACATTGCAGAAATAAAGAGTTCATTTACTTTAAACACTGTCAATATTTCTATCTGTTCTACCTCTCCCAGCCCCCATCCCCCACAAAGAAAAAAAAGCCAGGGTAGAATTTAGAATTAAAAATAAAAGGAAGAGATTTTTAAAGAGTTAAAATATTAAAAGAAAACCCCTTTGAATCTCAATAAATTAATGGTTGTTGAGTTTCAGCCTCTTTTGTCCTACCTCCTGACAGGTCAGCTCTCAGTCCTTACAGAGGGCACCCGACGCGTACTTCCCAAGTGTCCCCACGTTCCTGTTGTCTCATTATGACTTTGGTTTGGAATGTATGGCTGCTGTAGCTGCAGTGCCTGGTTAACTTTAATATGGATGCAATTTTAATAAATATTTATATTTGTATGAAAGGCGCACACACACATAAATCACAAATAATCAAATTCTTGGAAAAACCTCCATCGCCTGTTCATCAGGGGAAAGTGTCACGTGAGCACAGACAAGCCAGCTGTGGCACTGCTTTCTGGAAGATCTCCAAGTGGCTGCAATCAACACAAGTTGGACCGAACAGAACTCTAAATGTATGTTGCTCTGGGAACTTAAAGACTGAAAGAGCTAATACATAGAGAGCTCTACAACATGCCAAGGCCCACTAACTCCACAGTAATAACAATAGTAATACACAATGCCATAAATTATCCAAATCTATTCTATAATGCACAGAGAAGTACCTGGTTAAAGCTGTTACATACAATATAGACAGTTGGGATCTGTTTTCAGTGCAATATATCACATTTGACAATTAATGGATATAAAAATGTGTATTTTTTGCTTTCCAAACATGGAACAAACCAAAAATAAGGCTTTTCTGATAAACTATAGAAATGTAATCGGCAGTTGGATTTGCTTGGAACTCATAAAGGATGGTTATCTCACTTCCTTTGCATATTCATCCTACTTAGCTCAAACCTTAAATGCAAATATATATATAAATATATATGTATATATGTGTGTGTTTAACATCAGCAGAATCATGTCTCCTTTGATGCATTTCTTGTAAATATTACTACCCACTTCAAAGCATTCTGATGATGTAATTTTCTCCCTTTTTTTTTCCCACTGATTTTCCCCCTTTCCTTGCTGAGAAAATACAGGGAAGATATTGAACTTTCCCCATGGCTTATTTTCAGTTTCCATTTTTGAGCCACTTTTTAATTCACAATGTTGCATTATCTGAGTAATTATATCATGAACATGGAAATCTTAAAATGTGGTTCTTCATGTTATTTTTCTCTCTTTTCCCCTTCTCCCCTTCCTTCCTTCCTTCCTTCCTTCCTTCCTTCCTTCCTTCCTTCCTTCCTTCCTTCCTTCCTTCCTTCCTTCCTTCTCTCCTTGAATTCACTGAAATCTTTCCTAGGTATTAGCCTTTTACTTATTATTTTAATCAAAGCTCATCTTTGTGCCCAACTTGTGAAAAGTGAAAATGTCTCTTTGAAATTCTATTTTACAATATAGACAGGTAAGTTGGGCGTTGGGAAACTTGAGTTTCATTTAAATACTATACATGTTTGGTATGACACCAAGGGTGGGGGTGAGGCAGCAAAATAAATGGAATGATAACTTTTACTCTATCTTTACAAAAGAAAGCCTCTTTCCTAATGAAAAAGTCTCTTCAGTGTTGCTCCCAGAAGTCTGTGGAGGAAACATTTTACCCAGGGCTTTGATGGGATCTCTTTTTCACAGCACATCCACTGCTCCTCAAGAGTCACATGGGTTGGCTTTTCCTGTTTTTAGTTGAGCAATGAATAAGCACTGGAAGTGTTTTCCATGGAGGTGCTGGTTGTTTCTGGGGTAGAAACATTGTACGTTCCTGAAAAACAGAAGAGCAGCTTAGCCTGAGGACCAGCCTGCATGATCACCTGGGTGTGAACCTTTTCTAAAGATCTAGGAGGAGCTCTAGTCCAAGAGCCGGGTAAGCTTGCCATGCCCCAAGGCAAACCCATGCCTGCCCTCCGCCCCAGACCCAGAGGTGCTGGAGAACAAACAAAGCTGTCTTTCTCAAGCATGCGTGGCAGCCGACAAGACAAGCACTAACTACTTCCCATCAAACCAGCAGCCAGATTTCTACAAAGGACAGAGGGGTCTCAACATGGACAGCCCTCCACATGCCACCACATGCATGGGCCTGGGGATATCCACATGAGGGAACCTCCATGGTCCCCTTGGGTTGAGGTGACTTGGGGAAGCTCTTGGGGAGGGCCTGGAAGCTGAGCTGAAGGTGAGGAGGAAAAGAGAGAGATGGAAAGAAAGAGAAAATTACAGGGGAAGAAAAGGTAGAAGAAGAAATGAAGCAGAAGTCAGGAAATGCCAACAGAAGTGCTGAGAGCTAGGGCGGCAGGGAGGACAGCCCTGGGGCTACCATACAGGCTGTGCCAGCAGGAAGGTTGGGGACTGAGCACAAGCACAGTAGGGAACATGTGTCGAGCAAGGGAAGGGATACAGTGGCCACCCTACCATCAGATTGCTGAACTGCCACTGCTAACAAGGTTTCCATCATTGCCTGGGGGGCCCCGTGGGGCTGCTGACAACATAAACCAAAGTCACAGTGATTACGGAACCCTTAAATAGGCCAGCGTGGATCCATGTTAGTGATGCTGAGAGTCTATCAAGCAGCAATGACTGGGAATGTCAGGCCCTGGGACATTAGAAACAGAGCCCCAACTCCAACTTTTATCTGAGTGATTCAGAAACAATGAACACCTTTTCTTGGCCTTACATAATGCGTATAGTCATTTCATAGATTTTTCACTATTTTTATTTTAATGCAAATCACAAACATATTCCAGTGATAATGATGGTCAAGTGCAATAGATCTAATACACCCTGAAGATCTCATCATATCACAGTAGGTCCAAAAGCCATGTCCTCCAGTGTAATGCTTCAGAGAGAATCCCAAAACACCAAGTCTCTGGAGTTTTAACAAAAAAGAGGCATTTTTAAAAGCCGTGGTCCAGAACATTGACATAGTTCTACATCCCACATTTGTGAGACCTGTTTGGTTTCAAGAAGCTGAAGGGAACTGTGGTGCTTATTTTCCTGAAGCTGACAGTGGCACGGGACAGGAGTTTTGACTTGCCGATGGCCAAGACTCATTGCCCAAAGCCATCAATGTTATTTATTTTGTACCTCCAAAGGTGGACATTTTAACTGTCCATGTTTCTGACAGAATAGTTAACTTGGGTGATCCCTCATATATGTATGCCTAATTTTAGAAATATCAACATGTAAAACAAGCATACTCCACAAAGGGGAAAGGAAAAGAAAACCAAGGGGGTAGGAACCCAGAGCATGGCTCCTATAGTATGTTTTTTTAAAATGTATTCTTGGCTGCATCATAACCCAAAAATATGACCCACTTAGTTGTATTTCACATGAATAGAGAAGGGCTCTGTGCTTGATAAGGCCAGCTGTTTATAGTGCCCATTTTTACAGCTGACAGGCCGCTCTCTGTAGGCTTTTCTAGATCCTCTAAAGCTGCTTCTTCCTAAGTTATTTGTTGTCCACTGGAGGCAGTTACCCTCTGTACCAGCCTCCTGGTGGTTTGTGAAAATATAAGCAAGTTCTTTTATTTAATATCTTCCCTCAATGAGGTCATGAAGGGGGAACCAACTGAGAAAATAGCGTCTTGAGACTCCCCATCAGGGAAATTTTGGGGGGTCAACACAGGGAGATCCTAGTGTTCACTACATACCTGTTTTTCCAAACAAATTGTTAAATCTTCTTGATATTGGAGAACTCATGGAAAATACTGGTGTAGATGAGCCTAGGGATGTTGACTAGAAAAGAGGGAAAAAGACATTTAGATGCTAAAGTGTTAGAGCAGGCCCCTGCTTGGTCTAGTAGGACTTACTTTCTGCCCCCTAGTGGTCACTGTCTGACTAGCTCTCAAAGCACTTTAAGGTGAGAGCCTGGATAAGCATGAATTTCTACTTCAAAGAAATTAAGCAGAAGCACCTTGAAACACTGGAATCTCATCATCAGCATTAGGAGAATAACTTCCAAATATTTTTTACTGTTATAGAGTTTAGTATCTTCCAACATGTCAAAACAGTGAAATATATTACTATATTTCAGAAAATTCTATTCCTTGTTATTTCTCAAATTGTGTTCTCTACTGCCTTGTGTTTCATCAGAAACCTTTTGTTTATTTCTTACTGAAATTTTATTTTAGCTTCCAGTTGACATTTTCTGTGTTATTTGACCCCGTTTAAAGATGTGGGGACAGCATCTCTTTTAAAAAATTATATTTTATTGATTATGTTATCACAGCTGTCATAATTATTTCCCCATTTGCCCCCCTTCACCCAGTATACCTTTCCCTCCAGCAATCCCTCCCTTAGTTCATGTTCATGGGTCATGCATATAACTTTTTTGGCTTTTCCATTTCTTATACTATCCTTAACATCCTCTGTCTATTTTGTACCTAACAATTATACTTTTTAACCCCTGCACCTTTTCCCTCATTCTCCTCCTTCCTCCTCCCAGCTGATAACCCTCCAAATGATCTCCATACTTAGGATTCTGTTCCTGTTCTGGTAATTTGTTTTGTTTATTTGTTTGTTGTTTTTTAGATTAAGTTGTTGATAGTTGTGAATTTGTTGCCTTTTTAATGTTCATAGTTTTGACCTTTTTATTAAATAAATCCCTTTAACATTTCATGTAATAATGGCTTGGTGGTGAACTCCTTTAGCTTTACCTTATCTGGGAAACACTTTATCTGCTCTTCCATTCTAAATAGTAGCTTTGCTGGATAGAGTAAACTAGGTTGTAGGTCCTTGCTTTTCAACACTTTGAGTACTTCTTGCCAGTCCGTTCTTGACTGTAAAGTTTCTTTTGAGAAATCAGCTGATGATCTCCTGGGAACTTCTTTGTAGGTTACTCTCTGCTTTTCTCTTGTTGCTTTTAAGATTCTCCATCTTTTACTTTTGGCATTTTAATTATGATGTGTCTTGGTGTAGTCTTCTTTGGGTCCAACTTATGGGATTCTCTGTGCTTCCTGGACTTACATGTCTATTTCCTTTCACAAATTACAGATGTTTTCTTTCATTATCTTCTCAAATAAATTTTTGATTTCTTGCTCTTCCTTTTCTTCTGGCATCCCTATGATTTGGATACTGGCGTGTTTGGATATGTCCCACAGGTTCCTAAGCATATCTTTGTTTTTGTTTTTGTTTGTTTGGTTTTTTTTAATTCTTTTTTCTTCTTTCTGTTCTGGTTGAATGTTCATTTCTTCCTTATGTTCCAACTCATTGATTTGAATCCCAGCTTCTTTCCCATCACTGTGAGATCCCTGTAGAATTTTCCTGTATTTCACTTAGTGTATCCTTCATTTCTTCCTTTATGTTGTTGTTGTACTCGAGTTCTCTGAGCATCCTGATGACCAGTGTTTTTAACTCTGCATCTGACAGGTTGATTATCTCTGTTTCATTTAGTTCTTTTTCTGGGATTTTGTTCTGTTTTTTCATTTGGGCCATATTTCTTTGTCTCCTCAATTTGACAGCTTCCTTGTGTTTGTTTCTGTGTATTAGGTAGAGATGTTCTGACTCCCTGTTAAAGGCACCTATAAATTGTGTGGGGTGGAGCCACAGGTAATCACTAGGGTAGAACAATCCACTTCACCACTTTGTGGATCTGTATGGGGGAAGACCTCAGAGAGGGGACTGTGCTACTGCCTGGCTTTTGGGAAATTGCTCAGCATTTGCTATTTCCAGTCACTTCACCTACTCCCTGTATGCAACTGGTACCCTTCCAGCTGTTGCCCTGGTGTTGAATTCCAGAGCGGATGGGTTTGCATATGTTTTAAGACTATGTGGGCTCTTCTAGTGGAAAGTCCTGAAAATTCAGCAGTTTCTTCCATTGCCCCAATTCCCACTGGATTTTATAACCAGAAGCTATGGGGATTTATCTTCCAAGCACTAGAACCCTGGGCTGTGCGGTCTGACCTGGAGCTGAGATCACTCACTCCCAAGCTATCCCTCCTGATTTTTATCTACCATATGTAAATGTGGGACCATCCATTCCACAGCTGCTGCTGCCGCCTCTCCATACCACACTGCATCTCCTCATCTCTGCCCCATCTCTGCATCTCAGCCCCTCCTACCCATCTGGATGAATGTGGCTTCTTTAAATCCTTGGTTGTTGGAATTCCATACAGTTTGACTTTCTGACAGTTCTGGGTGTTTTGAGATTTAGTTTCAATTCTTTTTCTGGTTGTACACGGAGGCGAATCATGTCTATCTATACTGCCACCTTGACCAGAAGTGATAACAGAATCTTAATGACAGTTCTATAACTGTGTTTAGTAAGCCAAACCAGGTTAGAAGCAAAAACATTGGGATAATCTTTGCTAAAACTGGTTATAGAGAGAGAGGGTTTTTCAAAAGTCTCTACAAAGGGAATAGTTACCTTTGAGTGCTGTGAGGACCATCTTGACAGTGAAAACTTTTTCAGCAAAGCTTCCTGTACCTGCATTTTTTAAAAAAAAAACCAACAAAACTACTATAAATTCAACATGCCATGAGCACTTCACACTTTTCTAGGACCATAAAACTGTCATGTTCTTACCTTCTGATCCCAGAGGCATCCAAAGAGTAAAATGAATAATCCCTGAAAAAAATAATTGGGAAGAAGTACATTTTAATCATATTCTATTGTCCAGCAAAATAGGAAGTATTGTTAACCTGGTATTGAATTTTTACTACCTCTTTCCACATCTGTGTTTATGGAATGAGTCCAGCAGATGATAATGTTAAAAAGGATGCAGTAGGTCCTCACCAAGGGACTTTAAATGTTTGAATGTTATAAGGATATTTTCTATTCCCCATTTTCCCCCGATTGTGAAGTAGAGGTCTGCTGGTTGTGCTATCAGACATACCTCTTATGTCTATAGTAGTCTTCACATAGTTGTGATAGGCCATGGGGTAGAATAATCAGTCCCTTTTAGTCAAAGCTTATTAAAAATGTCATTATACATGAGCCCTATGATCTGGAGCCATGGGTGCAGTTGCAGAAATTAGAATTTTCATGGTCTTTGTGTGAGCATCCAGGGGGCAATGAATGTCTCAGCTTCACCTCCAGGCCCCCTGCCACCTCACCAGCTCATGGGGAGGTCCATGTTTTCTACCCACCTACTAACTAAATCAGAATTAAGCACTTCCTTCCTTGTGCTCCAAAGTCTTGTTGTCTGTACCTTGGCTGAAGCTTTTCTAACAAATCTGTTTATATTACAATGACTTATGTGCTTCAGGAGAGCAAAGAGGGCAGCTTTTCCATTTTCGTGTAATACACTAGAATGTGCACCTTATGTAGGACACTCATTCTTTCATTCTTTAGCAAATGCTTCCAGAGAACATACTATGTGATACAGCATTCATTTCATTCAACAAATGGTTATTGAGCACCTACTTTGTGCCAAGGTCACATTTAGGCACTAGTGATAAATAAGACAGATGCTGTCCTTGACCTCTCAAAGACAGAGCTCATTTAGTGCTTGTGAATATTAACTGGAGAGATTACTTGGTAATAGGTGGCATCAAGATAATGTTGGGTAAATAGCAAATCCAGTGTAGGGAAGGAAATTTCCTCCTACTTGGATTATCAGAGCATTTAGTAGAGAGTTGCGTGTGCAACTAAATTATGATGTCGGTAATAAGAGTTATGAGGTTCCATGGGAACAGAGGAATGTGTGCTTTCCACCTCACTGAGTTCTCATGATTACTGCTATTTAGGGCTTGGTCCTCCTCTGAACTAAAATCCTTCCCCATTCCTACTCCTGTTTGTGTTTCTATCATTAATTTACCCATGTTCATAGATACTTTCTGCAAGACTGGCAATACAGAACTTACCTGGAAGGCATTGAGGAGGGTAAATACAATATGGAACACAGCATTGCTTCCCTGGAACACAGTGGCAAGACCAAAACCCCAGGTGAGCCCCAAGAGTGGCGTGAGGACCCCGATGCTCTTGCTGATCTGAAATAGGCTGCTCTTCTCCTGCTTGTTGGGCTTGTCTCCAATGGAAGGTCTCAGGATCTTGGTAATGACCACAACCGTGATGGTCATGTTCACCACCACGATGATCAGTGCTGGGATGACGAAGGCTAGTAGGGCCTTGGTATCCTCCCAGTTAAGCCAACAGGCATTCTTTCTTGTGTAGACTTCCTGGGGCTGGGTGACCCCCACTGTGATGACAGAGATGATAAGAGGGCAGCCATAGCCAAGAGAAAATGCAATAGCCTTCTGAAAAGACTTGCTTGCATCATGCAGGATGAAAACCAGGCGGTAGAAGAGCATGAGACCCAGAGTCAGCATCCAGAAAAAGACACTGAGGTAGAAGAAGTGGATGAAGAAGGTGGCGGCTACACAGGCTGTCTCATTGAGTACATAGTGATGGTCCCGGATGGTGGAGGCCACAATGAACCAAATGTCAGCGACCAGAAGGGAGGCAGCAATGTTGACTATGCAGATGTGACGCATATAGGAAGTCCTATTCTTGGTCACTGACTTCCATACCACAGCTTCCACAACTAGACAGGCTGCTAAGCTCAGGATGGAAAAGCACAACCCAATGTAGGAAATGATATCCAGTAGTATTTTCAGGAGAGAATCAGGGTCTGGAGAGTCAGGAGACATGAGGATGGAGAATGATGTCAGGTGGTCACAGCTGCAGAAGACACTATCCCCATCAACTTTCATATAGCACCCACTGCTATCCCACCCGCCTGTGTGGTTGGCTAGGGCAAAGTTCCAGAAGACACATTGTGGTCTCCCACCTAAGGAGTTGTTGTTCTTAAAAGTCATTGAAATCCTGAACGACGTGGTTATTTTGTGGCTGACAGTGGTTGTCATCACTAAGCTGTTTGCAAAATTGTTTCTCTGAGCATCCCGGGCAAGGATGGTTTTAAGAGTTGGAAACGCCACGGTGACAATAGATGTATCTGGCTGCAGGTGTTCCAGATGGCACTTGTCAATAGCCACTTCACCCCTGAGGTCAGAGTCTGAGAAAACAAAGGTCTGCTTGTAGGGTTTTGGGGAGCCAGATTTTATGACCATGCTCCTCATCTGTACATTAGTTTGGGAGATGGACAGCACGCTGCTTCCTTCTGGCCGTAATGCTCGGGAAAATCTTTCCACTGAATCCAGTAGCTGAGAGCTGTGATTGGTCTGTTGCTGTTGTAACACCTTCCACGTATTCAGAACGGGCTTGTCAAGGATGATATTAATCGTAGAGAGAACGTGCTGTAAATGACATGACATGGGATCAAACCACACAAATTCTTTTGATCATAAGAGAAAACAATACCATCTCCCTGGAAACTGGTTGAGTGGGTACAGGTAAGAGGAAAAGAGAAGAGAAAAAGGAGGCATCACAGGCTGTGGTGATCTGGGACCCACCATCTGATGGCAGGGAGTTAGCAGAGATGGGTTGGTCCCCAAGACAGTGAGACTTGCTTAAATGTTTAGCAATAGTGACAGTGAGAACCACCCACAATCACTCACTAAGGCCAATTCCACAGGCTGGACAAGATCTTCATTGATTGTTTTATTTTATTTTTAATCCAAAGCTTGTAAAGGCTTTTTGGTGGCTGGTCACCCACATGGTGGTCACAAAAGACATTCTCAAATACTGAACATCAAATGAGCAATGCCATTGTTGTCAAAAGCATCTTTCTTTTATGCTAAACACTTTGATTCTCTATCACAAATTTGGGCTTGTCATTTTCCATTTTTGCCTTCCATTGATAAAATTTCTCTACCCTTTTTCACCTTGTTTCGTTCTCTGAAATTATGAGCCCTGCAGTTAGTTGAATGGTTGATCCCCAAAATGACATGTTCTGTACACAGACCCTGTGAATGTACCCCAATTTGGGCTTTGTAGATGTAATTAAGTTAAGGATCCTGAGGAGAAATCATCCTGGATTATCTAGGTGAGCCCTAAATCCAATTATAAGTATCCTTTTAAGAGACAGAAAAGAAGAAGATAAATGGAGCAGAGGCGGTCTTGTGAAGACAAAGCTGGAGATTGGAATGAGGCAGCCACAAGCCAAAGAAAGCCTGGAGCTACTAGAATCTGGAAGAGACAAGGAAAGATTCTCCTCTGGAGACTTCGGAGGAAACATGGCCTTGCAGACACTTTCAATTTGGACTTCTAGCCTTGAGAACTATGGAAAAATAAATTTCTGCCATTGTCAGCCACCCAGCTTGTGGCAAGTTGTTATAGCAGCCCTGGGAAATCTACATAACCCTCTTAGACTCTTATTCCCCAAAAGGCTTGCCAGTTGGCCTCTGGTTGAGTTTGGCCAATGGGAAGCATTGACAGGGGATGGGATAGTGGGAGAAGAAAAAAGTTGAAATATATTTTTCTACTACCCACCATACCTATTCCCTCATCTACACTCTCTAAGCACATCTTTGGCAGCAGCTATGATGCCTCCTCCAAGGATTCAGCTTTCCGTCAGCTGTGGGTACGCTATTTCCTCTCCTTTTTCCTTTAGTACCAGGGGTAGTAATGACTCCTAAATTTGCTGGTCTCTGAATGCCTCACCACCTATTTTTTAAAAAATACTGGCTTTATGTCTTTAAACATCCTTTCATTAAAGTCTCTTCTTAAATATTCTTGCAGGTGAATTCTCTTTCTTTCCAGAACCCTGACTGCTTCAAAGTTTGTGTTTAGTGCCAGACCATTGAGAATCCTATTCTGAAAATCTTTAAGTTTTACTTTTCCTAGAAAGAAGATAAGAATTCATTCTACTTTAATGAAGTAACTGAAGCAGAGATTCACTAAGGAAATCTCCTTAAGATCCCAAAATGAATATTGGAAACACTCCCTGATATCTTAAAAGCCATACATGGCAAAGCATGTTATGTGATTCATACCTAGGGCATTGCTGTGGAAATGACAGAAGTTATATTGGGAAGGGGCTATTTTTCTTGACCACAGGTCTTAAGGGGTGAAAAGAAGAGACCCCCAAACTCCTGCAAGTCTTAAATAAACTCACCTTCATCATTTCTGAATTCACTTGGCCCGGAATTGTTGAAAACAAATCGAGGATGTTAATAATGGCTCCCAGGTTCCCAGGACATGAACTCACTTCATGTGCCACTTTGCCTGTGTTATCAGAAAGATCCTTCAGGTATGTAGGCAGCTTCTTGTCCTGAGAGGGGCTCTTGATCAAAATCTAGTAACACAAGCCAACGCAAAAAAAAACCAAAAACTTGCCAATCAGTCCAGTCAACAAATCCTGCCAGTCCATCCATGACAAAATCTTTCATACCTGTAATCACCATTCTTTATCCATTTCTATAATTATATCCCATAAAATAACTAACTTTTCTCTTAAGCTGGGTATATTCTTCAGAATAGAATATTACTTAATACCTCACCCACAGGAAAACAGAAAAATATATGTCAATCTGGTGACTAATTTTTTTTTAAAGGAAAAGTAGATGTGATTGCTAGTGAGTTACATCAGAGTTGAGTAAAACTGATACTTAAATGGTCTGTATGGAAGCATATTTGCTACTCTTTCTTTTTTTATTATTACTTTGTTAGGTGTTAGGGTGACCATCTGTCCCAATTTTCCTGGGACAGTTCTGGCATGTATCTGCTGTTCCTGTGTAATTATTAACAGTACCCTCTTTTGTTTTCAAAACATATCCTGATTTTGATGATAAGTAATGTTGACACTCTATCTATAATGAGCACACTTATGTTTTCTAACTCATGGTTAAAATTAAAGAATAAACTCAAGTTTGATCTTCTCTATGAAAACCTTTGATGAATGTTCTGACCCAAGGGAATTTATTCCTCCAAATGCCTAAGTATTCATTTTATTTAGTATACTTCACATCTGTAATATCTCTACCAAAGTCATCTTATGTTCTTATTTCAATGTCTCAAATTAAGTCAAAAGCTCCTTAGTAATGTGAACCATGTGGTATATTTTTTTCTGTTTTCTCATATACCGTAATACCTAGCATAGTACAAGTCATCTTACTTGGCACATAGTAGGTGTTCAACTGTATATGTTGAATGGATAAATCAAATGGACCATGAGAGGCCAGCTTCTCTCTCTTCCATTGAAAATGTATATAGGTGTCTAGACTTGGGACCACTGCCCACCACTGAGTTCAAATTATAATTTCTGTCTTCCCAGTTAGGATAATTTATATCCTCAATGTTTTGTCCATCATGATCCAACTCAGATGCCATGTTTTTCAAGCAGAACTTCCTGATTATCCTAGCCAAAATTAATGTGTATTTAATATGTATATTTCCTATCAAATCAGATTTGGCCTCTTTACCCTGATAGCACCTATAATAATGTTTTGCACATAGTAGGTATTTTTAATGAATTTGGTAGAAGACAAGAGGAGACACAGAAGATAACTAGATAAAAACAAATTCAATATCACCTGTATTCCTCTAAGAGTAAGGAGATTTGGAACCAGTTGTCTGAAGAAGACACCATCTGCTATAACTCCACCAGTTGCCTTATCAGTATTTATTTATTGCAACTCATGGAATTCTAGGAGTCTCTATCTTTCAATGACTTAAGTATGAGGTGGCATTTATCTATTTTGGTAAAAAGAAAGGAATTTTCCCTTACCACATGGCAGTAACCTCTATTCTAGGGCAGAGAGGCAGTGAGTCCCTTCTCTTGTAACTATAGGTTACTTCTAAGGACTGAGGAAATCTCAGACCTGTAAAAGCATAATGTCCAACTTTTTTCTTTTACAGTGAACACCATTTTTTATGTGGTTCCTCTTTCTGAAAAGATGAGAGCAATATGCTTGATATGAAACTTATTCAAAGAAGAGCAAGTAGAGAGGATGATACTACTTGCCCCTTACAGGAAATGGATACAAGAGAAGGCAAGGTAAAGGTATACGGCTGATTTTACAGCAAAACGCATATTTTGTTATCACCCTATTCGTATTTGAGCAACTTTTAAAGGATTTCTAGTGTTGCATCTTTTTTGGAAATAAACAAATAAAAGAGTTTTCAAGAGCAACTCAAACCAGCTCATGGCCCATTTTCCTAAGTGCTGAGAAATATGATAAGCTACAACCCACCACAAGCACAGAGTCAAAGGTCTAAGGATCACCTTGGCCTGCTGGAGCAGATTGTTTATTGGTGCAGAGATGCAGTCGCTTCTCTTCAGCTGCCATTGGGAACCTACACATTTGTAAGTCATGGTTCCACCCATGGGACTTCCAGGGCTGCTGGGCAGGTGTGAGAACTGGCAGAGCTTCTGAATAACTTTCCCAGGCTCCCCAGCACCTAAGATGGGATCTTGGCATGTGACATTCTCTCCTGCATTGGAAACATGGAAACAAAAGGGATATCTGAAAGGAGGAAAAAAGACAGTGGAAATGGGGTCTGGCTTAGGTAGGATTTTGATGTTTGATGTTTGAACTCATCTTTCCCTTTATTTTCAGTGACCTTTCTGGAGGTAGCCAATTTCTTCATTTTGCCCCTGATTCTCTAAAGCCTCTTAGTGTTTTCCATACATATCTGACTTTTATCTACACTTACTTTTCCTAACAGAATTTATATCCCACCTCCAAACCCCAAGAATCTTCTCTCTGCTGTCTGGAATACCTAAGTCATGGAAAATAATGAGCTTAATATGCACTTGTCCAAAAAAGAAAAAAAGATATTCAGGTTTCCAGGAGTCACAGGGACATAATGCTTCATTCAAGGGATTCTCCACTTTCTCCTGTTAGAATCACCCGGGGAGCTGGGTCAAGGCCCACGTTGAGGCTCACTCCAGTCCAAGTAAATCCGAACCTCTGGGGCCTGAATTCAGGCATTAGCAATTTTCAAAGCTTCCCCAGTGATTCCAATGTGTAGCCAAGGTTGGGAAGCATGTGTTTGATCCAAAGATATAGTTAGTAGTAAGTATTCCAGGCTCCACAGCCTGAATATTTTGGCAATATTTGTGAGAATTCGTTCCTTCTGGTCTCCCACAAGGGTGACTCTATTTCATCTCTACTCAAGACAAGATGTGACTGGGAAAATGGCATTTGTCACAGAAGCTTTCATCTCCAGAAGACCCTGATTCTCTAATGAGCAGATCTTTGTCCCACTAACTTTTAAATTTATCATTAATGGAGTTGGCAGCCATTGTATAAAATCATGGAATACGTGAGTAATGTTCTACTTGAGAAAGAAAGTGATATCAGACTGGGTATGAAGAAAGAGAAAAAGAACAAAGGTCAGTGAATAGAACATGGTACAGTCTGGGCTAAGCTGGGGAAGTGAGGAAGGGACTTTGGCCACCCCTGGAAGAGGTATGCTCAGAATGATCCAGGGACTGTGACTCAGAGAGACAGGGGACTCAAAATGGCTTCCTGCTTTGGTTCCAGGGCTCAGTTAGCAACACATGTGGGAATAACCATAAGTCACTCAAGGAACTCAAATAAGCTTGGTAATAAAGACATGGATCCTTCTCATATCAGGGGTCCTATTACAGAGAAGGTTTCTGGGGAAGGGAATTGCTTAGGATGGAAGCCCAGGACCATCAGTTATCCATTTGTTCTTCTGTTGCTACAGAGGAGAGCTCTTTGGAACAGGCTATTATGAAATGGTTCCATAGTTCATGACCTTTTACACTGAAAACATTAAGTGAGGGTGTATTGGCTCAGCGATAACAAAGGAAAGACAGTTACCTACCTATTTTCAGATGGATTCTTTTCATGTAGGCCTGTCTTAGGGAGACAGTACTACTAGGGATACCTTTCCTTTGCTAAAATCTCAAAGGAGCCTTAGCTCCACACAGACACTACCCATTCTTATGCACCCAGCGCAGTGTGCAGCCTCCCAGACTCAGCTGAAATATGACTTCATCTGCAAGGCTTTCTTGATCACTTTCTCCCCACCTATCTAGAGCCCTCAGGATACCAAGCAGCCTCTTCTGGCCACCCACAAAGTTTAGCACTTGCCCCATTATATGTGATAACATTCTTTATCACATCTATCTCTCCTCTAGTTTGGGAACAGGAAACTTGGCATATTTCTTTTCAAATTTCCATAATTAGCCTAAGGCCTGCAATGTGAAGGTGCTTAACATATATTATTGAATAGATGAATGAGGGAGTGAATGGATAAATACATTCCTGCTCATGATTACATTTTAAAATAATTGAAAATGCTCTCACCAGGCACCAGATTAAGCTTCATAGATGGACTCTGGACTGAGTCACCAGCGACATTGGTAAAGCGACAGAACACATCAACATTTTTTGGACACCGGGAAACTATTGAGTTTGCCATGAAATTGAATTTGTAGCACACTTGCTTTCCATTAACTTCTTTGGCTAAAACAGAATTATTGGAAGAACCGAGTCACAACATGAATATCCAAAGCACAGATTTTGTTAAAATGATTTACTATGGATACCCTCGTCGAGCCTTTTCCCAGGAATATGCCACATTCATTCTTTTATGTGGTTTTAAAAATGCTTAGTAGTAAGTAAGCCCACATTTGCATGCATGCTAGCCAAAACATCACCATTCGTGACTCCAAATCTGTGTCCACACAGGTTTGGACAATCAGAATGGCTTTCAGAATGCCTTCTGCCTATCTAAACCTCATCAGGCCCTGTGCATTTATCCTATATTGCCTTCACCACATTGGTTTAGAGTCACCTCTTTACAGGTCTGCCCCTCCACCAGATCATAAGGCCTTGGAGAGCAGGTACCTGGCTTCATTTATCTTTCCATCATCCACTTTCTAAGCACAATGTTTGGCACATGGAGAGAACACTGAATATATGCATGCGGAACAAGGAATGTTGAAATGTTAGAATGTTTCAATATCCAGACTGATTCAAGATTGATACCATGCAACCCCCTCTAAACTTTCCAGACTTTCTGGGTCCCTACTTTCCTGAACTTCCAGTGTTCTTTTGACCTATATTGCTCATTTTGGATATTTAATGTTATATGCATTGTCCCTATGACATGAGCCCTTCTACATATTAATATATGTGCCCTAATTCCTTTTTCTCCTTTTCATTACCTACTTTGGTGTTTTGCATTGAGTGGGTCTTCAAGAATAGTTCATGAAAGAATAAATTAGCATGTAAGTTGCTTATGATGATGTCTGTGTTTTGACATTAGGAATGAGAGCTCACGTTTGTTTGAACTTATTCTGTAGGAACTTGAGGAATCTAGACTAATGGTACATTCTACCAGAGAGGAATTAATTTTTTTTTTTTAACCAAGTGCCATAGGGCGTTACCAATGGACCATTTTACCCTGAGTTTGAAGTTCCTGGAACACACAGGTAGTATAAATTCAAACCCAATACCTGAGTGAGGGCAGGACAGTTATCATTCTCAGGGAAAATTTTTGTCCACCCAGAGACAAGACCAAGTTCTTAACCTGGCAGGTGAATTTTGCTTTTCTGTTCTGTTTTTAAAATGAGCATGCCACCTTCTGAGGACCCTGACATTGTGCTGGTGGGTTGGGGTTGCCTTAGCTACTGCACAGGTGGAAGACCTTTACTTTCATGGCCTTCAGCATCTTAAAACCCAAGGTTTTGGGTTCCTTATATTGGCAGATGCCTTCAAGGAAGCTCTAGCATTAACTAAAACATTATTTTTCTTTTCCTCTATGTTTGGTGCTTGGATATTTCCCTTATTTTCTTGCATGCTCAGCTATGCATTTAAGAGGATTTTTGTGGTACTGTCATAGCATGCTGATTCGTAGCTTGGAGGGAAGTCCTATTAGAATATCCACTCAGCTACAATAAAGAAGTAGAAGACCTGTGAAGGTATCTTGACACTGTCTTCAACAGCGCCCATGAAAACCAATGGGCTCCACTATCACAGACTCTCAAGAGGTTGCCACAAGCCAAATATAGCAAAATAGAAGATAATAATGGCTTATGGGATTCACTCTGTTATGTTCTGTCTCTGAAGAAATGCCTATGTCTACTTTAAGACTAAATTTTTAGGCTCCACATGTAGGAAATACTATGGCCTAAGAATTCAGCCGCTGGCATCTTACCAGCAGGAAAGGACAGGAAATCCACGTGGAAAGTTACTCTGTAGTCTTCATCTTCCTCGACACAGCACTTGAGGGGATGGGAACCTTTGCATGGAATTGCAGCTTCCAAAGGATCAACCATGATGTTCGGCTCCAGAGGCAGCGGGTGAATAGTGACATCTTTGGATGCAACACTGTATGAATTCTTATATCTAAACACACAGTGATAGGTTCCTGAGTGGAAGGAAGCAAAAAAGAGATGCAATTAAATCATCATGCCACAAAGGCATTTGCTGGGAAGGTTAAGAAGAAGCTTAGTTGACCCTGTCAAGCTTTCACAAGGGCATACCACACCTTCCCAGGCAGTGGGTAAGAAAATGCTTGATAGATTCCCCTCCTGGGTGCTCCATGTGTTAAAAAGACTAACCAAGAGCCACCTACTTATTCACTCACTTTCAGATAAAATTAAGTGGCTTATCTGGAGTCATACAGGCTGTTAGGGTGGAATCAGTCTTCAAATAAGTTTTCCAATACCTACTCCAGGCTCTTTCATTAACCAGGGAAGAAATGGGGATGTCGGTGTGTGCTGGGATGGGAAGTTCTTTGAAGAAAGTTGTCACGCAGGTGGAACACTGCGATGAGATGCCCCCTCTTTCCATCTCTAAGCGAGAAGGCTCCTCAGTTTCCAGTAGCACCCCCAAGGAGTGTGTGTGGGGGTGGGGAGAGAGAGAGATTCTTGGGAAAGCTTGACTTGTGGACCCTGGAATGAGATATTGAATGTCTCACTTTTACCTAGAAAAGTCTAAAGATAAGCGGCTGGCTGACCTTGCTGGAGTAAGAGAGAAGGCAGCAGCAGGAGTAGCCCGTATGCCTAGCGCTGGGTGAGGCAGAGTGGACTGTGGAAAGTCCTGGGGCTGAGCTTCTTGAAAGGACCTTTTCCTAATGAGTATTATACTAGGGCACATCAGAGGATGAGCCACCATTTAAGCACCTGCCATGGGGACAGTGTAGGAAGATGATAACCTACAATTTAGTAAGAGCTTTTGATTTTTTTTTTTTAACATTTCTTCTCTTTGCCCGAATTCTGGACAAGCCAGAGCAGCAAATAGCCAGAGGAAGCCCAGGCAGAACAAAAACAGACAAGAGACTCTTTTCAATTGTGTTGGAAGGGAAAGGAAATTTAAATTTAATATTAAATGAAAGTGTAGTAGTTGATTTTAGATAAGACTAGGTTATTTTACTACTTGAGTGGGAGAATGTTTACTAGGTGAATGTGATGGGGAAGCTATGGCTTCTCCTAAGTAACTGCTTCATGGAAGGAAAGAGCAATTTGGACAGTTAGGTGTGAATTCAGCATCAGAGAAAAATATTCTCATTTCCTGATTTTTTACTACCAAGTCCAGCCAAACAGTAACGTGTTCTGTTTACAATGTTGCCTGGTCTAATGAAAAAAAGAAGGAGAGCTGGGACTCACAGAATCTGGACTGATTAACCTTACAGTTAATGAGAGACCTCAGAGTGAAGTGGTTCAGGGGCGCCCACAGAGCCAGGCAGGCTCAGTTTCACCCTGGTGCTGTTATTTACAAGATATGTGACCTCAGGGAATGTATGTAACCTCACTGAGCCTCAGCTTCCTCTGCAAAAATGCTTCCCCATCAGCAAAATGGGGATAATAACATCATTATCCTCTCATTTTATTGTTTTAAATGAATTAACACACAATACTTAACACCGTGTCTGTCCCATAGGAAGAGCTCGAGAAATGTCAGCTATTATTGCAGTGGTTCAATCAACTTCTCTCTCTTCCTCCCACCTAAAGATTTGCATTTCTTTCAGACATGGCTAATGTATAGAAATAAATGGGAAATAAAAATGTTTCTTTTTTTGGAATCAGGCATACAAACTATTTACCTAGATTTTTTTTGATACCACAATTGGGCGAAACACTCCCAAGAATCTGATAAAAGTACCTTTAATAAATATCCTCTTAAATTCCTGTCAAGAACACAGGCTCTAGAATGAGAGAGAAAAGTTCCGGTCCTGGCTTTGCAACTTAAGGTGTAGAAGCTTAAGTGTATTTATTATAGTCTCTGAGCCTCAGTTTCCACATCTATAAAATGGGTATAATGACATCTTGCCTGAAAGGGCTGTTGCATGAAATGTGATGCCATACTTAAGATGAAGTGGCTGGCACAGACAGGTCCCAGGACAGGCCCTCCATGGACGGTAACTACCGCAGTGTGTTTCCAGGGCTCCAGGCAGCAGAGTAGGGTACCAGCCTTTCACTCACCATTCCACTCCCTTGTTGAGGTCTTCACTGTCAGCACCGACTCTGCTCCATCAGGATACCTTCTCATGGTGTAAAACTTTTGGTATATTTTAATTCCAGCAGAAGTGTTCCAATACACCTCATCATAGTTACTCACATCACTGATGCACTTTATAGAAAAGTTTTGTCCCTCAGAAACAGAAATTGGGTCCGGGGTTATTGTTATGTTGGCTGAAAGAATGCAAACAAAACAGACAAAAGAAAACCGACAACAAGTACAATGTTTAGTCTTTCTGGTGCCATCGACACAGGAGTGAAATTTAAGATAGAGACAGAAAGTGTGGACCATCCTGACTACTTGTGTCAATGCGGGATTGGTACCTTGCTGCTCCTGGGCTTTACTTGTTTCTAGGCTGTTCCCGGTGGTGCTCTGAACTGTACTCATTTCCATCACATGCCTTAGGAACTCGTGCACTTCCCCTTTGTGGCTGGATTTATCTCCTGATGATCAGCAGAGTGAAAGGTTGCAAACTTAGGGATGTTGACTTAACCCAAGCTCCCCTCCAATCTCTTCCGTTACACCTCAGGGGCTGCTAGATGGCTCAGTTTGTATAACAAGTTCATTCTTTAGTTTTTAAAAATACTTGAAAACAATTATACCACTTTGTATTTTAATTTCTCTCTTTCTATAATTCTTCTCCATAAAAATGTGAGTCCCTCAAGAGCAGAGCTCTCTCTTCTGCGTCTTGGCATCCCCAGCATTTAGCACCTAGGCCTAATACCCAGTCAGTGCTTACTAAGTAGGAGAGATTTCTTGGAGCTACATTTTAAGTAGGGGGATCACAGAGTCTACTGCTCAAATAATTACACCATGATTGTCTCAGGTGAATCGAACCATAGAAATACCCTAACTATGTCCCTGTATAATTACTTGTTTTTCTGAGAATTTCCGCCTATGTTCTGAGGATGTATTCACTGAGAATGTTAACAAGACCTCTACAAATATAAAAACTTATATGAATGTCCCACTATTTTTGCCTCTGGATCTTGGAGCATGTCTTTTATAAAGTTGACATTTCAAAATGCCATTCACTTCTGTCTGCAATCCGTGAACAAGTTCATGCCTTGAGTCCACTGAGGCTGACCTACTTTTCCAATCAGTATAAAATCTTATCTTTAGTCATAATCAGAAAAAAAAAATCAGGGTTTTCCATAGTGGTCTTTAGAAGCTGGGATTCAACTGGTCAGCTATAGCTCCAAAGTCACACAAGCATGGATTAAAGTGCCCCTCGCGTTGACTTTACTGGCTGCAGGGACCTTGAGATGATGTTCAAAGGTTTAGTGGATTCTGGGAGAGAAAAGGAAAAGGCTCCTGGACCCATGAATCCTGTTCTCTTGATTCTCAGATGAGGTCCAAACTACCAGACCAGCAAAGGCTACACATGTCCCTAAGACAACCAAAAGCCCACCTAAGGACACAACTCTTGAGTTAAAACTTGCTGTGTACAACTGTGCACACTACTGACAACTAGTCAGTAGTTTTTGGACAACTGCAAGTTGCTCAAAAGATCTATGATCCTATGACAAGAATGTTTTCAGATAGTCTTGCTAATCTTGCTCTTTGTAAAAATGCCAAGTCACGATAGTAGAAAATGTAAGAGTAACAAGTATATTTATATTAGTCCTTTCTCCAAATTGTTCAGGTGAGGTGGTCTTATGATATATTGTAAAACTCATTTTTGTAAGATGGGTGGAAAAACAAATTTGACTGCTCTATTTTTGCAGATAGAGCTGAAGTTATAACACTTTATGATATGAGAAGAAATGCTATTTTAAGGGGCATAAATAAGCTGAATGAATTGAAATATTTAAAAACACTTGTTATAACTGTAACACAACTGTAACAGGGCACATCCAGGGCCCCTCCAAAGGGTATTTGTCACGTGGTCCAGAGATTGGGGTGTCCAAGAAAAATATATTCTCCCCACCCCAGGGCAGGCCGCCATGGGGGATGGGAGCTTTGAGCAGGGCCATTGAGAGTCATTTTGTATGTCAATAACAGTATAGCTTCATTCCTCATATGCAAAGAGGATTATGGAGACTGTAACTGGGAGAGGAAGGAGAGAAAGAGGCTTGCAGGAGAGACAAAGAGACATAGACTCTGGGGAACAGTGTGAAGACCGCGCGAAGAAAGAGGGGAGAAAGGACTCTTGCTAGTGGGCCCTGAGAAGGTGCCACATGGTTATGGATTAAGAGCTGGAGATCACAGCGACACAGTAGATGGTGCTGAGACCCGAGAGAGGCCGGCCTAGCCGAGCCCCGGACTTCTCTTCTTTTTCTTCTGAAGGATGGTATCCCTGACTGGCCTAACTGGGCAAAGCTGGGAAAGCAGGATGGTGTGTGTGCTGGTGATTTAAGGGGATTTTTGAGATTTAAGAGCTACATTTAGCCATTAATCAAACCTGTATAACTTTTGAATAAATAGTGCCTTTCCTTTTCACCAAACTGCCATTCAGAGCCATAATTCCAAGGGCGGCGGGCAAAGGACCTACAACCGAGGGACCCCGGGGAAGCTGCAGGCGGGGGTGGGGGGGTGGGGGAGGTCATTGTTTCAGTAATAGCATCTTGACACCTCCCCCCTCACGGGTCCATTTATTTGGTAATGCTACAACAAAGTATGAGATTGTTAAAGCTTCCTGCAGCATTCTTTCTAGAATAGGTGAAATGGGAGAGAAGGGAGGACAGAGAGGTGAAGGGTGATGGGGACTGAGTCAGGCTATTGTAATTCAAGGGAGGAAGAAGAAAATTATGGGAGGAAAAGGGGGAAAATTAGGAGTGTTATCCTCATTTTAAACTCAAGATTAAATAGGACTAATCTGAGTGTGAAGCTACTCTCAGTCCACTTCCAGCCCTACCAGAACAGGCAGACTGTGCCTTCCCTCTAGTCCGATTCCCACCCTTCCGCTCCCCTCCCCTATTTTAAAGACTCCATCTGCACTTAAATGGGAGAGAGGGAAGTCCTCTACTGTTTCCCATTTTGTGACTCACCCCTACCACACTCCAATCATTAGTGAAGGCCCTGCTTTATGGCTCATGAATATTCCCAATTGATTGGCAGCCCTTGTTTTGAGGTGCAAGGCTGAAAATCCCAGTAGGAGTCCTTACCCACAGATGTGAATGTCACTTCTATGTCCTTACTGCCTCGAGCTCCATGGGCGCTGATGAACTCACACGTGTAGACAACTGTCCTTCCGGCCGACCCACTGGAACACTGAGTTCCATCAGCCTGGAGGGTGTACCTGCTGCAGCTTGAATCTGAGTCTGTTTCAGAGTTTCCTGCAATGACAAACCAGCTCTTTTGCTGTCACAGTTGGCTGACTCTCTGAGGCCAAATTAGTGAAAAAGAGTTGTTAATTAAATTAGATTTCTTCTCTTTGAATGAAGAGGTGGCAGGATGTATAGTGGTTAAGGCTGCGGACTCAGGAGACAGTTTGCCTGGCTACTGGTCCCAAACAATAACTGGCCATGCATTGTTGAAAACGTCACTAAACCATTCTGTGCCTCAGTTTGCCCAAATGTAAAATGAGGAGAAATAATAGTACCTCCAGGATTGTAGTCAGGTAAAATGAGTCAATACATAAAAACACTTAGAGCAGTGCATGGCTTGGACCTGCCCCATTACTGATGGTCATTAGAATGTGAAAGATAAAGAAAAGCAAGGTCTTCGGACATGGTTTTCACTAGAAAGAAAAAACTGTCAGATTATTTAGACTATTATTATTATTAAAAGAAGAAACAAGACTGGAACATCTGATATTCATCTCGTCTGAGAAACATTTACATCACTTGTTCCCTCTTATTAGCATATACGCTTTATTGGAAGCTTCAAGTTCATGCTTTCTTGGGCTACCAGTTGTTTCCCTTTCAAAACAGCTCCTCCCAGATGCTGTGCCCTCCAAGCCATCTTTACTTCTTGCCTATGGCTCTGTAACACCCTCCTGATGAACATTTTCTACTCCAGTCCTCTCCTCTAACACTGCCTATGCCATGAACTCTTAAGGCGTCCTTCAAACACTGTCAGTCTTTCAAAAATTAAAGAAGAAGAACCCGATTAGCTCTAACATGAATGTATCCTTTTTTATCCTTGGCTGGATAATTGGTGACATTTGAAATATTTTGATTGATAGGTAATCAGCTTTTCTCCCCAGTCCCCAAAATGGCTGTTCAAAACATAAAATTGATTTCCAACTTCACTCACTTGGCTAAATGACCTGCTAGCTCTTAGACAAAAATGTCCCTACTTATTTCTACAGCTCACCCTTCCACTTAATTTTTGTAAACCTACCTCTCCCAATTCTCCCAGGCTATATGCTATTCTTTATCTTTCCTGTCCCTTGTGTCTTTAATCTTTCCTCAAGTTCTTTCATGCTAACCAACAGGTATATTTGTCTTCCCTTCCTAAAATAATCTTCTTAATCTGGAAGCTTCTTTAGCCATCACTGAATTTCCTTCCACTCTTCACACCACAATGCTTCTGCATTCACCATCCATAGTCTTTTACTCTTTATATCAAATCACTGTCATTCACCTTCTTCCCTATACTTCACTTGAAGTGTGATTCCCTCTTTCCCAGGTCCAGTGGCTTCTCAGGCTACCTAGACAGCAGCAAGCCATTCTGCTGACCATCTTCTCTGTGACCTGGCCTGCTCAACTCCACAGGTCTCTCCTGGTTCTCTTCTCTCTTCATCCCTCCTTTAGGGTCCGCTTTCCAGGCTCCTCTCCCTTTGTCCCCTTCATAAATACTGGTGTTCCCTAGGACATTGGCCTTGCCCTAAGCACTCTGACATTGATTCTTTCCTATCCTTCTCTCTACTGTCTCACTGGACAATGTCATCTATACCATGACTCCTATTATATCCTGTATTTGGATGACTCTCCAATCTAAAAGAAACAGTCTTGCTAGAAACTCTGCAAGCAAATTTCCCAAGTGCCAATTTGATATTTGAGGTACCTCCAATTCAACATGTCCTACTGGAACTCATCTTTCTTCTCCCCAGAGAAATCTGTACAGCTTCTAATGTTTCTTTTCTTTCCCATTTGCAGTTCATGGAATTAAAAATCTTAAATTGATTTTTAATTACTTGCATTTCCTCACATTCCATCTCAATCAGTTGTAAAAATTTTTAGGTTATACTTCCGAAACATCTCACAACTGTCTCCTCCACTTCAACTCATGGTCAGTAGCCCAGACTCCATTACCTGTTATTTCCCAGTTGCAGACTATTGTAACTTGGTCTCTGTTTTGGGTATTTGGTCCTTCAATCTATTGGCTACACTACCTCAAAATTTATTTTTAAAAATTATTTTTATTTTTTAAAATTAATTTCTCTAAAGTTCAGCCCTGATTACCTGACTTCTCCCTCCTGTTACCTTTAAATCTTACGCTTGCCATTTCCAAATCTTAGCTATTGTAAATAGCACTGCTATGAATAGAGGGGTATGTAAGTTCTTTTGAATGGGTGCTCATCAGTAGAGAAGTGTATAAAAAAACTTAAATACATTTACACAATGGAATACTATACAGCAGTAAAAAAGAAGGAATTCCTACCTTTTACGACAGCATGGATGGAACTGGAGATTATTATGCTAAGTTAAATAATTGTTGAAAGACAAACACCACATGATCTCACTTATAATTGGAATCTAATGAATAAAATAAACTAACAAGCAAAACAGAACCAGAGGCACAGAATCATGGAATAGACTGGCAGCTATGAGAGGGGAGGGGGGAGCTGTGGACTGATTGAAAGGAAGTGAAGGGATTGGTCAAAGAACATATATGAAGGACCCATAGACATGGACAATGGTGTGGGGACAGGCTATGGAAGTTGGGGATGGGCTGGATGGAGGGAGATGAAGGGGGGGTAGAATTAAGACAAGTGTATTAGCATTAACAAAGTATTTTTAAAAAATTTTTTAAAATGAAAGTAAATCTTACCCTTGCTTACAAAATAAACTAAAATCTCCTTAATGGAGTATATGTATTTATTCACAGTATGATTTCAATCTGCCTCTGTACTCTTTGTCTCATCCTATATCATTCTCTTAAAAACTAGGTCAAGTCCTTCAGCATGCCTTGTAGCTTCATACCCTATTCCTGTGTTCACACCTGGAATATCCTCCTTCCCTCCTCCTGTTGACTCTTACTCATCCTTCAAGTCCAGCTTTCTCGCCAAATTAATGTGCAAGAAAATGAGCTATGCAAGATGGGGTATATAAAGACATGTACAAAAATAATTATAATATACAGTAGATAAGTTTCATAAGAGGAATAAATATAGTGTGGAGATTAAAGGAAGAAAGTTTTAGTTGGAAGATTTCAGAAAAGAGGGAAGATTTGCTTTAAGCCTTGAAAGACATAAATAGAAATGGTGGCTGCGGTGTTCTGATGTGCAGTTGTGGTTGGATTGCGTGTGTGTATAGACTGGTACTCCCTGGAGAACGTAGTGTTCTGTAAACCTGCTTCAGGAACTGAGGCTCAGCTGGAGGATGGATGGGCAATAAGCCATGTGGGCTCTAACCACCACTCCCCATCACTTTTCTAACTCAAGCAGCTCCAACCTTGACACATCAGACATGAGGTTCTCAAATGGGGATGATGTTGCCTTTTGGGGGGACATTTAGCAATATTTGGGGACATTCTTACTGTCATAACTGGGGGCGTTATTGATATCTAGTAAGTAGAGACCAGGGATGCTAGTAAACATCCTGCAATCCACAAGACAGCTCCCCTCAGCAGAGAATTATTTGGCCCAAAATGTGACTAGTGCCAAGGTTGGGAAACTCCACATTAGACAAACACACAGATTGTGCTTGAAGGGAAAATTCTACAGGTAAATCAGAAACCACTGGTGGAAGCCATAGCACAGAAGGAACTGCATCCTGGTCATGTTTGGGTGGAATCAGCAATTCTGTGAGGCTGAAACCTGCAGGGAAAGACTGGAGATGAGGCCCCAAAGAGATGGTAAAGTCAGAAAACCAAAGTGGGAACTCAGACTTGGAACTGTTCACACTGCATTTCATGCAGCATCCCTGGGACTGTGCACCTCGAGGTCCTGCCCAGATGCTACTGAATGCAGCTAACAAGCTGGTGCTGTGTTCTCTGGAGAAGAGATGCTACGCAAGTAAGGGTTGCTACTCAAGGTTAGATCACATCCAATGAAACTTTTTCACCAATCACAGCAAGGAAAAGTGAGGGGCTAGCTTTTAAAGCTATTGTCGCAACCAGAAAATAGTTATTGTGGCAGCATTAACGTATTCAGGTCTGTTTTAAATATTTATATTGATCACCCCAGTGTTTATCCCCCGCAAAAGTCTTGCAAAGGAGGTACCATTATCCCTATTTAATGGATGCAGTCTGGGAGTCAATGAGGTGACCTGGCTTGCCTGAGACTGTGCTGGGATCACAGCTTTCCAAGACTAGATACAGTCTTACTGAAAATCACAGGTTGTGAGGCTAATTTTTCCAGATGGGGACTTGGCTCAGGTTCTTTCCTGTTCTTTTTCTCTTTTTAAATCCAATTTTGTGGGAATTCCTTCAAGTAGAGGACTCACTATGTAAAATCACATGTGCTTATGGTGTTTCTGGGAACCCAGAGAGGGAGACATGGGGGAGGAGAAAGACCAGAGGCTGTGGAGGGGAGCCCTTTGCCACAGTCATGGAGACATGTCCACGTGTGTAAATGAGGGGTTTGACTAAATCCAGGGCTCTCACTCCCCTCTGCCCAGTAAAATCTCCTGGGACACTTCAGAACATATGCCACTGCCTAGAGCCCAAATCTGGACATTCCGATATAGTTGCAAGAATAAAGACTTGACACCCAGCCTTTTTAAAAAAACAAAAAGCGTGACCCCCATGGGCAGCCAGGATGGAGAATGTTGCCTCTAGCAATATAGCTCTAGCAATGCTCCTCGCTACTACAAGTTGCTTTTCTACTTGGGTCTCACCTCAGTCTGGCAGGCCGGCTTCTAGTAGCATTTTATAGAGGGTAGATGAATGGATAAGAAAAAAAGAGTCATGTATATGCTGTCCAAAAAAGACCAATCTCAGAACAAAAGTTACACACAGAAGGGGCTGACACCCTCTTGTAAAGATTCAATTGTTTTATGAAGAGTCTGCATGACATCAGGCCAAGGAAAGAGTCGGCAGGGCCAAGAAGAACTTTACGAACCCATATGAAAAGTGTTCTAGCTTGTGGGCAGAAAGGGAATTAAGACTTCCTTATTTTTTATTATCATGCCACATATGAAGAGCTATGGTGACACTAGAAACTCTGTAACCCTTAAATTGCCCCAACTTGTCAATGCATCCCTACGCTCTCAAAGCTAGTATTAGATACAGAAAAATGAGAAGCTGCACTAATAATAATAATAACTATTGGTACCTCTACTATTACTGTTAGTGTAGTAGCAGGATTAATGCTACAGTAGTCCCCTGTTATCCGCAGTTTTACTTTGCTACTTAAGTTACCTGCAGTCAACCGAGGTCTGAAAATATTAAAAGAAAATTCTGGAAACAAATAATTCATAAGTTTTGCATTGCATGCCATTCTCAAGAGCGTGATGAACTCTCATGCCATCTCTCTCCATTCCACCCTGGATGTGAATCATCCTTTTGTTCAGCATATCTGCACTGTATGTACAGTACAATTAGATATTTTGAGAGACCACATTCATACAACTTTTATTGGAATATATTGTTATAATATTTCTATTTTATTATTAGCTTTTATTGCTAATTTTTTACTGTGCCTAATTTATAAATCAAACTTTATCATAGGTATGTATTTAGAGGAACAACAGTGTACCTAGGGTTTGGTATTATCCACAGTTTCAGGCATCTGCTCGAGGTCTTGGAACATATGCATACCTTGTGGATAAGGGAGGACTCCCGTATTACTTCTGCTACCATTATCATTAATATCATAGCTGGTGCCCCTTGATTTGAAAAACTGCAGAAATCCCTCTCTATTCAAGAGACCCCCCCCCTTTAAGCTAGAAATTTTATTATTGCTGATTACTTCTTTCTGTCTTACCCCTTGCCCAGAGTGTTTTGAAAATTAAATGTATCTGTTTCTGAAATGAGGTAATACATTCGGTTCCATGTGTTTTGGGTTAACTATTTAGCTAGGTTATTTCTTACTGACCTGGAAAAATGGGTGCTGAAGCACCTGTGGAGTTTGGAGCAAGACTGTTGCAGAGAGCGGGCAGCAAGGGAGAGGGAGGAAGGGCAAGGTGCCCCGAGCAGAAGATAAATTCATCAGAACTGATTTCTGCAGGAGGCCAGCCCTGTGACAGGAAACCCATTGTTCTGAGGGTCGGTTCAGCCCACACAGGGCATCAGGACTGTCTGAAGAAACAGTGGCCACAGAGAGGTCTCTGAGCATCTGCGCCACAGACTTCCTGGTCCCTCTGCCAGAGGGCGAGATTTTTCACCTCTTAGAGTTGAAAGCTTAAGGGCTTCCATGGGAACTTTGCAAGGTCTTTCTCCCATCTGGCAGTTCCTTCAGGATGCCTACACCTCCTCTTCCTTAAAAATCAAGGAAGTGACTAAACATACCATGTGTCAACACTTTCGCAGCTACCAGATGCCTTTCCCATTCTTCTGGGTGCTTTAAAGTCAAAGACAAGTGCTGCAGCTGAAATGTGCTTTGCAAAATAGATGTTCTCAGGAAAAGGTGCATGCAAATTGTTCATTATTTTATTTTTTATAAGTTAATATAGTCTGATAGCAAAGCCTTTGTAAAATAAAGTGCCACATCCTAAGGTATTTCATGGGTAAAGCCATATTTTATTTTAATGGGTTTTTTTTAAAAAGATAAAGATAAACATAATCTCTTATTTCTTAACGGAAGGATTGGATGTTGTTATATGAGGGCTCTAGGCAGAAAGCAGGTTTGTGCTTCTGTATACACTCTGCCAGATCAGCTTACTCCAATACTGGCTCACCAGGCATGGTAATGTAGTCTGGCCAAAATAAATTATCACTGGTCTTAGGACACAAGGCTTGAAGTGAGTCCCAGTTCTTTTTCTTTTCCTATTGTGACAACTTTGAATAAGTCATTTAATTTGGACCTCAATTTCTTTTTGAAAATTAGATGGAAAAAACTACTAACTTCAATCTTGGGGTCAAGTTTAAATTGGATTAAAAGTAATAACATGTTTTTTTTTAAAATTAGGTAATCACAAACTGTTATACCAGAGTTTTAATTTATCATCATCATCATCATCATCATCATCATCCACCAGTATAAACTGGGGGGGAGGGGGACTTCTAGTATGATCTCTGTTCTTTTTTTTTTTATCTGTTCTAAAATGAAAGCAAATGGGATCAGAAATTGACATGAGACAACTGAGAGGCAAACACATCCACCCAGGGAAACAAAAGAAAAGCAAAAAACCCAGAGACAGAATTAGATAACTAGAAGAAAGTGTGGATACAAAGGCAGAGAAACGAGAAGGACAAACAGCAAGAAAAGAGACACAGAAACGGGAAGTACCAACTCAGACTCCAAAGCAAAGGCAATGGCTTCATCCTTAGCTCTGTGATGAAGACAGAAAGGACAGGAAGTTGGGGGTGAGCTTTTCTGTAGGCAGGAGACACTATAAACCTAAGTTGTCAGGTCACTCCCTCTTGGGTCTTCTCTGCCAGGATCTTGTCTACAATCCAAGTATGACATTTTTGGAATTTTGTTCTAGAATGGCTAAGCTGGGGCTGGCCTCAAACCTAGTACTTTTTCATAGTCTGAAGTCTAGGAAAAAAAACAGCCATCTGACATTCCATCTTCTACCCACAGCATCTCCCATATTCACTTGGACAAGAAGGAAAAGCCTTTTTGTGAAAGGGCATTTAACATTCTTACCTGGAATGGTTATTTCTCCCTCCTGCTTCCACTCCACTTTACTCCAGGTAACATTGATCTCACTGCAGCAGTTCAAAGATACAGGACTGTTGTCACATGTCACCTCTACTTTTTCAGTTGAGAAAATTCGGATGGGTGTGACATTAATTTTTTTTCTGGACTCATATTCAAAAATATCTAATGTCAGTTTGCAAATATATTCACCTATATAGAATACACAAAAGCATTTATTATTACTACATGTGTGTATCACCTTAGAAGAATGATCGCCTCATCCTGTGTCCTGACAGTGCTTCAAGAAACATCATTTTCAAAAGCACCTGAGACTTGGTATAAACAACCCTAAAGGAACATTCAGGAAGTGAGATGGTCAATGCATATATTTCTGAAGACACAAGGTAAAGCATAGACAGGTGTTCTAAGGAAACAGCAGAAATCTCAGAGTCTTGGTTAGAAAGTAAAAGGTGTAGGATGAAAGAGGTAGAAGGAAAATTTATAAAGCCTTGGAGAATTAGAAGATTGTGGATAATTTTGGCATTCTACCTAACTCTGTGGCAAAATCAGAATCAACAAAGATGTGATAGGACCTATGTGTTTGCAACGCAACTTCATTCAGAGAAAAAGATGCCTCTGTTGGCCTGTGGATTACAATGGGGTTATTAAATTCTAGAATGTCAGGTTTAAGACTTATGCTTCTGTGGTTGCTGGGGGTGAAGGGCAAGGAGGCGCAGGTAGAAGAGATTACAATGAGTACAAGACAATTGGGAGAGGGGGATGGAAATGTTTACTATCCTGATTAGGGTGATAGTTTTAGATGTAGGCATATTCTGAATTTATTAAACTGAACACTTTAAATATGCACAGCTTATGTCTATTCTATCTCAACAAAGCTGTTTTAAAATTAAAAAATTATTAAAAGCATAAGTCTGCTTTTTATCTCAGGTTATAACTCATAAGCTTCAGTAAATGTGGAAAACCATATTAGTCTCCCAAGACTAATTTGCTTGGCTGATATGCCATGGGATTAATTTCCAATTTGGAAAAGCTGAGCCTGGTGACTTCTTTTTGAAGATGAAAATGCTATGTACACCTTCTGTACTCTGCCCCTGTGTGAGTTCTTGATTCCGTTCCTCCCACCAGTTATTGGCTGGAAACTCACCCTCGTCCCCCTGAGTGAAGTTGTAAATAGTGAGGCGCGACACTGAGGTCATATTGTTGAGCACGGTGGTGGCAATCCAGAATTTGCTGCTGTTCTGGATGTCAGAGTGCCTTCCCACATGGTACCAGGACACATTGAAGGACGAAACTTCATTTTCACACATGAGGGTGACTGTATCCCCTTCAAAGATGATTTCCGGTGTGACAGAGAACTTAGTTTCATCTGGAAACCCAAAGAAAACAATTATTGGGATTCCAAAGCAAATCAATGCAACTGATGCTACTCACCTGATGCTACTACCACAAGAGTTGTCACACAGTGGCCACAGCATCTGTGGTGCTCTCAGGAATGAGGCAACCCATCCTCTTCCCTCCATCCCTGGCAGCTGGTACCTGGGGCCCAGAGTCGGAGTTGGCCATATACGAGGGACATGGTTTCCAGTCTGGGGTCTTTACGTATTTAGGAGTCCTCAGTGGTAATAATGGGCAAACCGAGGCTATTTTTAATATTTCCAATAGTCTGGCAGAAAATTGCACATTTGTTTATGAAAAAGCCACACCAGCCAACTTAAACATCAAATTTCTTTGCTCTCGACTCAGATAACATCACCTGCTTCTCACTGATAACTGATATCTCATGCTGACTGGAAGCTCTATTCTATGTCTTTGATGAGTTAGAAATGGGAAAACAATCATTTTAAATAATCAAGTCTGCTTGGGAAATATTTTTTTAACTCTTAACATCCATGGGTCCTTAAGTGTTGGAGGTTTATAGACACTCAGGTCTGGATCAGAATCCTGCTTCTGTGCCTCAGGCAGCTGTGTGGCCCTGGAAAACCTGCTGGGCTGCTCTGAGCCTCAGCTCCCCTGTTTGGAAAGCAGTGCAACCTACCTTCGGAGGTGATTTAGGGGAAGAGTAGCTGTTATTATTGTTTTCACAGTAAAATTCTGGAGAACTACTGCATTAAGTAATCTCACAGATAGAAATAAAAACACGATATATGTTATTTTTTGTATGCCTTTTTGGGGTTGTTCTTTGCTTACATACTCGCAGTTTTTCCCCCTCTCAGCTGTGTCTTATGCTATATCCTTCATGAGGTCCATGTAGTGAGGAAGTTGGGGGAACTGGGTAAGGAGACTATGAGGCCTCTTTTGCACAGGGCTTTATGCTCAGGCCAGACCTCTCCACCTGGTAAACATGGAACTAAAGCACCATAACATTAATTTGGGGAGATGATGTTCCAGTCCAAATATCAAGGTATTTAAATATTTATCACTTTTTTTAGGTTCCTGAGTAAACTAAGATTTTTAAAAATCACATTCGGCAATTAGAAATCAAGGCCACCTGTGAGTATTTAATGACGTGAACTGGCTTTGAAATCACACAAACTTGTATTACTTACTATGTGTCCCTGAACAAACTATTTACCCTCTCTAAGGCTTCATTTCCTTAACTGTAAAATGAAGATAATATCTATCTTTCAGATTATATGAAGATGAAATATGTGGAACACACGGTTTAACATAGAAAGATACATTAATAGCACCCTCTTTTCATTACCATTGTTGCTAATAACGATGACTAGTAAAACGGCCAGCATTACAGGGTTGTATGGAAGTGATCATAAATTTATTGGCAGTGATTAAAGAAAGGGGTATTTTAGTTAAGTGGCTCTGCTGATTAAGCAAGCATCACCAGAGGATTAACATACGACAAAATCAATGGACCTGTTCTGAGGAGTGCCATGTGCTTCTCGTGTTTCATAAAGAAGGGTTTAAAAATAAGTTCCTGACACCAACTCATTCATTCAGCATTTTTCTTCCTTATTCTCTTCCTCTTCCCTGTCCTTCAAATATAATTTTTTAGAAGCACTCAGTCAGTTGAGTTTTTTGAATATTTGTATTCTGCATAAACACCACCAGCACCATGGAGAGCAGAGCGGTGTCTGAGTTCCCTGTGATACTGCACAAGACATAAGGGCGTGTTTAGTGGTCTAAGGCTGAGTACATCACAGAACCACACTCTGGTCTTTGAAGGAGGATGGAGCAGAGTGTAGATCCTCTGCAGAAAGGGGGATAGAGGACTATTCACAATGATTTTGGAAGAATAAGCCACAGATACTAAAGCACTTTTGTGAACCACACTGCAATATCATCATTTCTGGACTGACGGCCACCGATCAGTAAAACTGCTGGATACTTAGTCAATCAACTGTCTGACTATCCTCAGCACAACTGAAATTCTGGGGAAAGAGGAATCATAATTTCAGCTTACCTGTGCTAGAAAATACTACTCTCCTATGCCCTCAGAATGATTTTTTAAAAAAAGAATTTTTCAGGGCAAAGTATTGTTGATTAGTGAGGTGTTGTTAGGGGTGAGGGTGTGGCATTGCTAAAGTTTCTTCTGAGTCTATATTTTTAGGCCACTTATTCTCCTTTCTTTATTTTTCCAATTTTCATTAGTTTCTTGCTAACTTATTCATTCTGAATTTTTATTTTGCTATTTTATCTTGCTTTTGTTGTAGCACTTTCTTACCATTGTGTAAGAAACATCTCAATATTTTATTTTTCAAAAGATTTGCTGTCTAAAAATACCATCAGAGACTGTAAAGAAAAAGAGCAAAAACCCTCTGTGAGGATGGCCTAACTGCTGAGAAGGGTGTCCTTTCTCAGGAGTTGTGCCTGCGACAGTCCTTGCCGCATCCTCCCGCACTGTGACCACATTGCTCCAAAGAGGAACCGCCTTTACTTGGGAACCATGAGCCTGAGTTACCCAGACATCTGCTGGCCAAATCTCTGCCTCCCTGGCTCCCGGTATAGCCCCCAAGCAGCAATATAGGTCCACCCACCTACTAACACAGCAGAGCCCAACCCTGTGCCCCACTTGTAAAATGAGGGAGAACATCTAAAATCCCAGGATTCCTACAACTGTAAGATGTAATCCAAAGCAGTGGTTCTCAAACTTTCTCATGTATCACATCACCTGCAGGGCTTGTTAAAACACAAATTGGCCCCCGTTTGGTCTAGGGTAGTCCCGAGAATTAGCATTTTTAACAAGTCCCCAGGTGGTGATGATGTTGTTTGTCTGGGGTGGGAGGAGGCACCTTTGATAACTATTGCTCTAAAATAACAGTGGCCCCCTATTTAGTATCAGTGCATTTCATGAATATCCCAACCTAAACCACAATGGCAGTTTTACTTTTTTGGATGTTTTGGTCCTGCTAATTTTTTTAAAAATCTCTAAACACAGGTGGCTCTGTGGCCCCCTTGCAAAATCTTCCCCCTTGCAAGCCCCTCCCCCAACTGCAATGGCAACCGTGGGGGCAACCTTAGGCTGTCTGCACCAGCCTAAGATGGGGAAATGGCACAGAAACCTCTGTGCTGGGGCCTGAAGACTCTCCACAGGGGACATCATAATGTAATTTCTTAGGTTTAAGCATACCAGTAAACATCACTGCCACATCTAAATGGAATCTGTGTATAGGAAAAATGTAGCAATATTCTACTTACTACTAGTAGTTGCTTGGAAAGAATTGTAGTCCATTTTGTAGGTCTGATTAAGGTTCTGTGTTACTAGATCATTCGCTTTACGCATTAATTCAGATGATGGTGTTGTAGTCTTGACTTCATATGACACAACCACACTTCCGGGCCTGGATGGAGACCGCTCAGTTCAATAAAGCAGTAACTGACCTGGAAGAGTCTAGACCTTTATGGTTCATTTGTATAGGAAAACAAACGGCATGAAGGGTTCACTGAAATCAAAATGTTTTCAAGCTCTCAGGGGTGTCCAACATTTTGGAGTCTCTGGGCCACACTGGAAGAAGAGTTGTCCTGGGCCACACATTAAATACACAAACACTAATGAAAACTAATGAGCAAAAAAAGGTTTTAAGTAAATTTATGATTTTGTGTTGAGCCGCATTCATAGCCATCGTGGGCCACATGCGGCCCACATGCCGCGGGTTGGACACCGCTGCCTAGTTGAAAGCCTGAGGCAGGGCTTGCACACGCAAATGAATGCAGACAGGTAACACAAATGACCAAAGTGGCCAGACAGAGATGAGTAAACAAATCCAATAAGCTGGCCATACAGTGGCAGCCACAATGCAGAGACTTGTCATATGGCCATGCTGGCTCAGGGTTACCAGAGAAGCTTAATATCAAAGGAAGCCAAAATCCTGACTGTTTCTGTAAACATTCTTAATTTTTAACATTGGCAACCAACTTTTAGAAAAACTGTGCAAACCAACTCATGGCTGCCAGGGTGCCAACGTCCAGGGGAGCAATCCACATTGCAGCCTGCGTCTGCAGTCCTGGTTAGCCAGCTTTTCTTGCATAAAGGCATCATTGCATGACATTAACTCACTTTTCTATTTCTGAACTCCTTAAACTACAAACTCATCCCATATCTTTGCAAAATTCTTATGTGCATAGGGTGAACATGAATCTTTTCCTCACCTTCCTTCTAAGTAGATACCTCTGTAAGGAGTGAACTATAATTCTCAGTATTTCAGCTGCTTTATGGCTGAGCAATCTGCCCCTGTTGAGCATCCTAGGGGTTGCCCCTTTGACACTTTTCCTCCTTCACTAATGTGTTGGTCTGTGCCACTGGATAGAAATGACTCAATTATGGCATTCTTACCTGAACCCTGTCACAGTCACCAATATGAAGCCTGGTAAAATACTGTACCCTTTCTGGAACTGGAAAATAAAGCAAGTATCGTGTATCAACAACCAGTGAAAGAGAGGACAAAGGTTAGAAACAGAGTAAAAACCACATATTCCTTATTACCCTGGGTAAAATTTCGTCCCGCATATTTATTGCCATTGGCATCAGCAGATCTTTGAAGAATTCATTCCTATCTACCTATGAAAATCTGGGCTCTCTAAAAAGCAAATACAAGATTAAATGTGTAAAAACTTTACTCAGGGAAATAACTAGGAAAGAATATGGAGCGGCAGCAGGAAAGCAGAGAGAGCCATCTGACCCCAAGTGGAACAGAGCAGGAGTGATGGTTGGATGAAATCATCCTAGACTAGACTGAGCCTGGGAAGCTTCAGGAAAGCTTCCAAAGGGGTTTCGTGTCTGCCAGACACAGACCTGTTGAACTCATTCATTAGCAGCCAGCAGCTGTCATGGCTCTCAAGAGACAGCAGTGGGGCCCTTGGTCAATTCCATTCCTTGTGGTTGGAGACCTACCGGTGTACTCTTATGGCTGCCACACTGCCTAGCACATTGCAGTTAATATAATGCAGCACTAGTTGAGCCAGTGTGGTTTCTGATGACTTTTTTACTTCAGTTTGTTTCTCTGAATACCAACCCTACAAAAACTTCAATTTGATTCAAGTCACATTTACAGGCAAACCCACATGCAAAGAAAGCACTGTGTACCACATACCTGGATGGATAGGATCCAAAGATTACCATATTTTGCCATGTATAATGTCCATATTTTTGAGGGAAAAATAAGGGTGTGCATTATACATAGGTAGTATCTGAAATACCTTGTACCTGTTCTTGCATTTTATAATTATTTGTTAAATAAATTTCTCATATCATAATATATTCAAAAATAAATGCCAAAATTCCTTTATAATACAAAAACAAGTATCTAAATATAAAAAAATAAATAATTGAATTAAAACAAAAGATTTTATTTTCCTCAAAGTTTGGGCCAAAAACATGGGTGTGCATTATACTTGGCAAAATATGGTAATATGTCACTCTCTTTCCTCAAAAGTACATGATTTTGTGTATGGCTGTGTGTTTGAGGAGGTTTCTCATGTTGTGCAGAATACATTACATGCCAGATAGGTAAATCAGATGTCCAAGAGCTCTACTGTGTCAGCATGTTATCATGGCACCCATGGAAAATGGTAGTATCTGTGTGGCACACTCAGGGGAGCTCCTAGCTTGCTCCTGCCCAGAGAGTTAAGTAAGTCATTATCTCAGTCTACCTGTAATATGTGCCACATCAGTTGGGAAGATCTATTCCAAATAAGCCAATTCAAGTAAAGCATTTCAGTTTCGATGGATCGATCCAATGTAAAGAACTTACGATAGTGTCTGGCACACAGTTAACACTCAGGGAATATTCTCTAATATTACATAAGTAAATTTAAATCTGTCTTAGGTGTGAATGCCTAGGGACCACTAGTGTAGAATGATTTGGAGCCCTCTGTGCCAGCCTTGGGCTGGTCTACCCAAGAGATGTTAAGGGTTTCATCCATGTGCTCTGTGAAGACAAATAGGAATGTACATCTGATACTTCTAGATACTTCTTGGGCCTCTGAATAGGTTTCAGTGAGTTTATGTCACCAAATCTTATCTGAATCAATTCTATCCTGGGAAGAAGTCCCACCTATAGATCAAGATGATGTCAAATCACCCCCTGAACACTGTTTGATTTGAGCATTTTTTAATTCATTATGCCAGAAGTCTAGGAAATATTTTGACATACACATTCATAAATTCTGACAGATCCAAGCAGACTATCCATAGTTAATGTGACAGATTTAGTTCAGCCCAAAGAGTGTTTGGTTAAGAGTTTCCTGAGGCCAAAACCTACCGCTGTTTCCAAGTCAGTCTTGTAGGACCTGTAGAGGGCAGAGGAAGTGTTCCTGAGCTCTTCTTGAAAGCCCACATTGAGTCTGACTGACATTCTCAGGGTTACAGCTGAAAAAAGGGGCAACACTTTAAAATCTCATGTTAGCATTTAAGCACACACAGGACAGAGAAACATTTACTTGATCTGACATGAAATAGCCACTCAAAAAATGAACATTTAATGAGGAGCTACTTACCTCCTTGGAGCTGGCAAAAAGGTCCCTTGGGGGGCAGTCCTTTAAGGCAATTGCAATGATGCCCTGCAGGGGAGTTGTCCTGATCTTGACAAATGAGATTTGGAAGACACTGTTCTTGAGGCCACCTATAGCCTGTCTCGCAGGAACACCAGATTTCATTTCCAGTGGGTCTGCAGACTAGCATCAACCCGAACAGTGAGGAAAGAGAAGGTGGTCACCACGTTTGCATTTATAGATTATAGACTATAGGTAATATTTATAGGCTAACTTGACTCCATATTGCCCTCTGGGAAGTCAATAGTACTACATGAGGTTTTCATGCAGTACTATTGCATGCATCATCATACTATTAGGCATGGGCATCTAAAAGACAGCTACTTTAACTAATCCATGGGATGTCTGCAATGATATTGTGATAAACAGGTGTCTGGACATATAGAGTATGAGAGCTAGCCTCCAAGATGGCCTCTGACCATTCCTGTCTCTAGGGGTATTCACACCCTTTTGCAGCACCTTCTCATATTGTACCGAGGTTGGTCTGTGTGACCAATAGACTATAACAACAGTGATTTCTGGTTCTCCAAAACTGTGTGATATATTAAATGACTGTTGTTTAAATACTAAGTTTTGGGGTAATTTGTTACACAGCAATGGATAACAAATATCCTGTCAAACATGAGTCTATTCTCACAGGGGCATTGAAAAATATTCTGCTCTCATGGGGACATTGAAAAATACTCTGAAAACAGAGAGCTTTGAATTTATTTCTAAATCTGGACCAAAGTAATATCATTGGGAGCTGTTTGTTCCACACATGGGCACATGGGCAAAGGCTCAACACAGTGACTATCCAAAGGAAAGCCACCCAATAATTGTTCCTGAAGTAAGAGGAACAACTGAATTCCAGTGGCCCTGGACATGAATACAATCCTGTGCTCCAGACATCGCAGGAACTGAGCAGAAGCATAAGGAACAGAGGAAATCCAGGCTGCTGGTGAGGGTGGTGAATTGGGAGGGGAATTTGAAGGGAGCCAACAAGACTCCCTCTGTCAAAATCCCCTACTGACCTGAAATTTCACGGCTAAAGTATGTTTTGTTTTGTTTTTGTTTCTTCATTTTTTGACAGGGGAATGGAGGTAGTATTTAAAGAACTTTTAACTCCCATGTGAAATACAAATGTGCTGTAAGAAGGCGACAAAAGCTCTCATCACCAGACCACCTACTGCATTCCAGGCATATTTGGTGCTTTGCATACACTGCCTGGCTCTTAATTTTGTTTGCTATTATTAAAAAGTGTCTTTCTTGAGAGGTATTTCCTGACCAATGATTCCAGAAAGAAGGGAACTTGCTACTTATTGATATCCTGAACCAGTACTTGTTATACATACTGATTGCCTAGTATAAGAGAATCCAGGAGTTTGTCTTGGCCATATCTTGGGGCCACTTTGTAACAACCAACAAACAAACCATCAAATAAATATTTGGCCACCATATAAAATAAGCAAACTGGCTGCAGAGTTTACCAATAGGGACTTCATCTGGAAGGCTACGAAATCGTAAAATCACATTTCAAGCCCGTTGGGTCATTTCACTAGCCTACTAAGTATATTTTGCTCTAATTGTAAGGAGCTCAGACAGCCTTTCTCCTGAAATGCCCAATCCTTCATTCTAAAGCAAAGGATCTTTTACTTACCTGTTGTCACCTCTATGCTCAAAATGTTGGCAGCTGGGTCAGTGTCATTGCCTTGAATTGGAAAATTGAGGCTGTTCAAGTAAGCTCTGATAGGCTCCAGCAAGGAGGCATTTTCAAAACTGATCTCAATGTCAACAGTGTACTCTTTAGCTGCAGGACGGCTCATAGCGACTGAAATGAAAACATATAAGGGCTGTGAGAACCTACCATTGGTGGTGGAGGGAGAGCACGATAGACATTTAAGCACTTAAAGGCAATGACAGGAACCTGTGGGTACTGGATACATCATTCTTTAAGAATTTGTAATGAAACTTTTTTGAGGAAAAAGAAGAGTTTATGTCCTGACCACCACCAATTCCCTCTTCGTGGTGCTCCCTCTCTCTGACTTGACTATTTGAAGGAGCAAGGCAACAGATCTGTCTGGGCTCAGTGCAGTGGTCTCTGGCTATTTGAGAGATTCACTGGCTAAGCCCAGGACTTATCCTTCCTCCCCCTTCTTGCTGTCAAAGGCCAAAAACCTCTTTGTGGAGAATGGACCATAATGGGACAAGAATAGAAGCAGAGAGACTTAGCAGGAATGTTTTGGCAGCAGTCTAGACAATAAATACCAATAAATGTCCTGACTCACCAGGATGACTCAATATATTTCAAACACCATTCAACTGACATGCAAGTGTTTTTGAGAGCTGGACTATGCAAAACTTGAAGACATCTGGGAAAAGTCATTTAGTTAATTCCCTTTGCTCCTAGCCTGTGCACCTTAGCATGGTTCTTTGTTTTTACTCTGTATGTCCAGTGTCCAGAATATGATAGATACTCAACAAAAGTGAAATTGGCAAGTTGGAAAGTAAAGTAAAAAAGATCTTTAGCTCTTCATTGCTCTTCCAAAATGTCTCTAGGCTGCTTGTCTGGCTATCATTCTACATGAATCTGCTCCCAAACACATGCCCATGGTAGGCAGGGCAGATTATATATATATATATATATATATATATATATATATATATACATATATATATGTATATATATATGTATATGTATATATATATATGTATATGTATGTATATGTATATATATATAAAATTCCTGGCCCACTAGCTGTAAGCTTCTCAGGGGAAGAAACAATTTCTTTCATTTCTCATGGCCTTGCTTACTTCACCTGGCATAGAGCTTACCATACAATAAATTAGTGTCCAATTAATTTTCGTTCAACCTGTGACTCTGGGTTGAGTCACAGTTTCACTTCTCTGTCACTGCCAGAATCTTTGGCTCATTCTTGGCTGATGTATATAACTGGAGCAGAGGCCATGGACAATCTTCAAAAATTAGGAAAATTTTTTTACACTGACACATTGAGAAAGCAGGTTGTAGCCTATTTTATTTTGTCCGTTACATACAGAAAAGATAAGTGAACGCCTACAAAACTATCACCTTAAAATTTAAACAAAATCTGGACCTATGATGCATATTTTATCATACAATTAAAATTCTATGTTTATTTTCTAAAAGAGCAAAGAATGTCTCCCATAATATTGCAAGATTTGTTTTAAATGTTCCAAGGATTATTTACGTGAAACACTAAAATTGAGTATGTTTACTATGGGAAATTCCAATTGATACGTTCTTATGGTAGAAAACTATAATGTTTCTTCACTTAGAGTTGCAAAATATGTTTGTCTTAGGATGTTAGTTTAACTCATTTACCTTGTTGAGAATTATTTTATTTTTGGCATCATTCAACTTAATGTAAACTGTAAAAAAGTCTGTGCAGATTCTTCAAATTAAGAATGCCCTGAAGGTGTATTTTGCTCCTCATAAAAATAAATTTACTGTAGAACAAGTAACTCTCAAGACCCAATGGGGAATCTCAGTCTATCATGATACTGTGCTATTGCCTCAAATTTCCTGTTTAGTTTACTTTTGTTTTGTTTTGTTTTCCCTGATTCTCAAATGGTTTTGTGATAAAAAGCTGCATGGCGAGGGCAGGTGAAACTGCTTACTTTAATTCATGTGATCCGAACTCTAGACATAGTACTTGCCCACTGGGAACATTTGCAAAGGGGCAGCTGCATGACATTTACAAGATCTGCCTTAGAGCATATTCTTTTTGCTGCAAAGTAATGTTTATACTCTCAGGAGGATACCTCTTTGCTGCAATCAGTCTCCTCTCTTCCCATGAATGTAAACAGGATTTCCTGGACGGGAGCAGCTTTTGAGATGAGTGAGGTCTGTAATAATCCAATATCACCCCAGGGTAAGTTAGCAGCATACTGTTAATGCCTGAGGGTCATGTCTCCCACCCATCCCTGAGCCTACCACTCTGTGCTCTTTACAGACATAACTGTAGAACAAGCGTGTGCCTCGAAAGCACATGATGATTCATGGATGTCATCATTCCTCACAAAAACCAAGGCAGTTAGTTCCTGCACTGAGATCTTCCAAGGAGTTGAGCCAAAAGCTTAAAATACTAAGAGGGAAGTTCCTGTGACTTTAGCAAGCTCCATTCTAGAGGATTTGTGCAGCTATTAATAAAAGCACCAGCCTCTAAGGCCCTCTTTTCTTTATCCACTTTTTCTGTTCTTCAATAACTTCTACAGGGATTCCAGACCAGCCCTCATCCTGAACATCACTTCTCCCTAGAAACTGAGGAGGGGAATCTCTATTAGAAAAGGAAATGTCTTCTTAAAAATGGCTCTTCCAAACAGGCTCAAAAAACAAAACAAAACAAAACAAAACAAAATACCATAGTAACTCAGAAGGCTGCAGGCTTGCAATAGGGAATCACCTCCTCTGGGGGCGCCCACACCTGACTGATGATCACGCACACCTAGGGAATTTACACACACAGGTGTTTTGGAACTTCAACTGATGTGAGCCAAAGTAGAATGTTTATGAGTTAGGCCCAGAAATCTGTATTCTTTTCAGTTCCCACTGGCACTTCTGGTGATCAAGCACATTTGAGATCTAACATTCTAATCCAAACAAGGAAACTGAGAAGGTAATCTTGGAGAACCTGTATTAGCTCATAACCTTGTTTTCGGCTTTAGCTTTGCTTTTTGTTTGTAACACCATCTGCTGGTGCTCCTATGGGGGCAAGCAATCATGTAGTCTCCAAGCATATTTACTTACTCTTATTTTCCCTCTTTTGCCTTGAGGGAGCTGATATTCGCTAACCTCTTTCTTCAGGGATCCCGAAATCCTTGAGGAAAGGATCCCATGTGATCATAATGGAAGCAACAATAATGACAGCAGCTGTCATTTACCCATCCATTACCTGATAGGTTCCAGGGCCATGAGAACAGTATGCAGACCCCCATTTTGCAGATGACAAAACTGAGGTCTCAAGGGCCGAAGCCGCACGGACAGCAAATGTTAGAGCTAAGATTTGAAAACACATTTTTCTGACTCCAAAATCCATTTTATTTTAACCATACCCTGCCGTGACTCAAATAAAATGATAGTGACCACTCTATAAATCCTAAAGTACACAAAAATATAATGTATTATTGTTAAATGTGGCTTTGAAACATGGTGTGAAATTCTCAAAGTACATTTTAAAATAAGTTAAAAGGCAAAATTATTAATAATAAATGGGAGAATTATTTAAAACTTGTTCAATTTGATTCAACATGATAAATGACTTAGATATCCACAGTGCAGAAAAATACAGTGACCCACTGCTATTGACAGTCATGGATTTTGACACGAATTCTTGCTGAGATTGTTTGTTCCTTGGTTTATTGATTCATAAGTAACTTTACTATTTATTGAGTGCCTACTTCCCAGGCATTCACTGTGCTCAGTGCTGGAGACACAGGGCATACTGTGCTTACAGCCTCAGACAGGCCTACAGTTTGCAATAAAAATGCCAAAGCTACCCTTTTATCTCTCCCAAACCTGAGGGCTTCAGTGCTTGAGAAAGTGATAGTCCTATCCTGCCTCCAGTGACAAGGGACCCAGGAGGAACAGAGGACTATTCCCTCACCTCTCTGCAAATGTGTATTTCAGAGACCTTCCACTTTCCTCTGCTGCCACCAGACCACTGATTCCAGACAGTTTAATGTGTTTTATTTATCTTGGGTTCCTTTGCACTGGTGGTGTTTGTCTGAATTTCTCTGACTCACTGATACCCCAGTGGAAGCAGCGCATTCCAGGTGTCATCGTGTCACGGACGGAGGCCTATCGGCGGGCCCAGGAGGCCCAAACCAACCAGGATTTCCCCTCTCCTTCCCCATAAATCACTGCCACCACTCAGCACTTATCTTAAAGAGACATTTCTGGAAAGTTGGACACAAACTGCGACAAGCAGTTCTATCTTCATCACAGCTGTTAAAGCAAACAATAGCGCTTTGCCCAACAACTCTAATAGGAGTTATGGCATCTCAGAAGTCGGAGTCTAAATGGACCCATAAATTAATTTCCCACCTGCAGAAGAATGAAGGCTGCTAACCTCACCCAGGAGAAATGAGGTTGGGTGTGGCTTTCTCTTGACCAAAGGGGACAACGCTTCTTTATCACTGGATTTGGCTTTCCTTTCTCCCTCATAGTTCTGTAGCAGGTAAATATTAAAGCTGTTTTTCTGCTTGTTTTTCTGTTTTGTTGGCATGTTCTAGCAGGTAGCAAATTGCCAGCATCATAGTCAAAGGATCCTGCTCTCCCTTTAGGTTTTAAAAAGGTTTGTTCACACAGGGGTAAGCACCGGAACCCCTGGCTGGGGCTTACCTGGCAGGTGTGGATGGAGGACAGCGGGGAAACACTGTGTCAGAAAACACTGTTTCCAGGGCTGTGAAGTCTGGGGGGCGGGGGTGGGGGGAAGCAGCAGTTCTTCTAACTTATCATATACGCAAAGTATCAAAGTCAGCCTCATATAAAGTTCTTTTCTGAGTACAATGAAGACAGTGGTGCCAGTGCCCCTTGCTCTACAAAGCTGCTCCAAGAGTCATGGGATGCAATCTCACAGCCCAGATACACATGTTGAAAACTATGATTCTTCACTTTTAAGCATAGACTTTGAGTCAGTGAGAGCTGGGTGGAATGCGTTCTTACCTGAGCAGACCATTAACCTGTGTGAGCCATACAATTGACTTTGTTGTTAATAAAAAGTTATAAAAACAAACAAAATACAAATAACCCCATTAACATTTTTCAAAGTAATATGTACATAACAGTATCTAATCCTCCCAACAACCCTATAATGTAATAATATATATGTGTGTGATATATATGTGACACATACAAATATATATACTATAGATGCAATATATTATTTGGTATAGATGTGTATTTATATGTATATATGTGGTTGTGTGAGACAGATGTGATATATATGTATATATTCACGTATACATGTGGTTTTGTGTGATATATGTGTTTATACATATAAATATATATATTACAGATACAAATATAGATAAAGGACCCAAAGAGCTATATAACAGCAGTGACTTAGGAAAAAATCCACTGTGCTCTGAGAATAAATATGATTACTGATCCTACCTTTAAAGACAAGTCTATCCCAAACCCTAAAAACTTGGTCCAGTGTCTCAAAAGAAAATTCCTTTTGAGAATTCTCTTTTTCTCAGAACCACTGTTTGATCCTTTCTGGTGTTAAGGCTCCAAAAAGGGAGCTACATGTGTACGTGAAAGAGGATACCACTCTAAAAATCAGAACCCAATGCTATCACGCCACTTACTTAACACGCCAAGCAGAACACAGACCACTCTGGGTGGCCTCTGTTGCACGAAACCCTCCTACTGCTTCCTTTCATAGTTTCCCTGAAGAGTGACACTGTTATTACAATGCACGTTCCAGGTATCTGCAGCCTAGTGTCTGGGCCTTCCCACAGCCATTTCTTACTTTAATAATGTTGTAAAAATACCAAGGCCAATCCATCTCCTGATCTCCTGTAGATGGTGAGTTGAGTGATTAACAGATCCAAAATGACACTGGAGGTGCAAAAGCACAGAGGGTCACATATAATGAATGGAAAACAAGTTTTCATAGTGATTTATTATCATCATGAGCGTTTTCATCAAAGCACATCTGGAAAAATTTTGGAATATCAAATCCTCCGATGTAGAAGAGGTTTCCCCCCCTGCTGTTGCCAGGGGTCACAAACAGCCCTCTCGGGAAGTGCAGGAAGACGATACTTTTACAGCTGTACAGTCATCAACTGCCCCTGAGGGAGCCGGCAGCCTGAGCCCTAGAAGAAGCTAGCAGAAACGCAGAGCTAGAACTCACCCACTTATAGTTTGATTTTAAAAGAAAAGTCTTTCAAAATACTGCACGGGGACATCCTGGCCCTGTTCCTGTCACAAGGTACAGGAAAGGAATGGGGAAGAAACAATGACACTTGTTTCAAAGCACAGCAAATGCCATCGGTGGTACAGACCATTTCAAGCAAGAAGGGAAGAGAAGCAAAGGGGAGTGAGAGCCCCTTAGGGTAGAAAATAAGGCTAAAACACAAGCAGAAAGAGAAGAGACGAGAAAGGAAAGGGTAAAAGAAAAGGAAGGAAAGAAAAAGAAAATCATCAGTGGTAAGACCTTCCAATGAGGATTTTGAGAGCTTAATAAAATGTGGTCAAGTTCTCATTTCACAAGAGTGAATCTGGTTGCTGCACTGTGAGGGGCTGTAACAGGTCCCTCTACCCAGACCTCGGGACAAGCCTACTCCCTTTGGCCGCCCAGCATCTCTTTCAGACCACAAGACAGAGTGAGTAGACCAAGTCACAGCAGGTTTGGAAAATGACTCCATCACAATGCTATAGTTAAAAAGTTTTGCCTTCTACACAGTTGGTACAGCCACAAGGCCAGCAGATTCAACAATAGGACCTTATGCTCTGAACCCACAAAGGGGCAGCTGTGACAGAGACATGCGCTCTCTTCATTGGTTCACTCAGTTATTGAGAAACTGGGCTAGAGGCCAGGCTACAGAGAGGAAGAGAGTTCAAGGGAGCTCATGTCTACTGGGGATGACAAACAGGAAGCAAAATAATTACAATACATTGGGACACTCTTGTGCTATGGAAATGTATCAAGGGCAATGGGAACCCAGAAAAGCTGCCCCACCCTGTCTGGGGATTTGATGGAAGGCCTTACATGGGCAGGAGCCCATGTGAATTGAGACTTGAGTCAAAGTCCCTTAGACAAGCAAAGGAGGAAGGGGGAGGGCACTGAGTGTGTGAAAGGGAACAGAAAGAGAACAGGTGGGAAAAGCAGGCAGGGTCTGGTAGGACTCAAGCAGATGATTAGATTTCATTTTCAAGACAATTGAAACCCCGTGGATTTTTATCCAGGGAAATAAAAGCATCAGATTGATGTTTTTGGAAGATTCTTATGAGGGCAATAAGAGAATCTGGTCCTGGGAAAAGCCGGCCAGCAGATGTACACCAACACCTGCCCAGGTCCCGCACGTGAGACAGGGCACTGAGGATTATTGTACTCATGAGTGTTCACGGCTCTCACCTGCCCTCAACCCTCCAAAGGGCAGAGCCCTATATTTTCCAGACCATCTTTTGAAATTTGGTGGGAAAATTAAAGTGGGAGACAGAGGAGAAGGACTTGAGCCTAGTGGTTAAGCTGATCCACCAAATAAAGCAATAAGTGAGATTAGAAGAGGTCAGAAAACAAAGGCTAATAAAGGAAAGGCTGCTGGGTTGAGAGTGGTGGGTGGAGGGCAGCTGAGGAGACAAGCACGTGCTATGGGAGAGAAAAGGGGGATTGCAACGTTGCTAGGATTCGTTTAACGCCATTTGATAGAGAATGGAGTTCCTTTGTAATTACTTCTAGATATTGAACCCTAATGTGTTTAGAGACTGAATTATGTGGATCTCAGTGTTTTGAAAAGCCAGAACAAATGTCATTGAATCGGACTCACTAGAAGTGATTGCCAAGCAAAGAGTTTACATACCCGCTCGTTTTTGCCTTAGTGGCTCCTCCCCTGCTAGTTCATGTTCATGGAGATTCTGAAAAAACATTTTAGAAAATTGTCAGTTAGTGGTAAAGACATCCTTTCACTACGGTTTTCTGATCACATGCCCCAAATGTTAGAACTGAGTTGAGTTTAGGGCTGCAGATTCAGGGTTAGCACCTTGTGTTTAGGGTGGGGTAGGCAAGCAGCAACTCAGTGATAGGAAGAATGATGTGAAGTCGACTCTGTACTGTTACGTGGGAATTCACTTTTTATAGACCAGTCTCTAGATCCAGGAGTAGAAGAAGTTGCCGTATCTGAGTTTCTTAGGGTTCCTGCAGTTTGAGTCCTGTCAAGAAGTATAAATTATGGTGTTCTCAACTTCTGCACTCTACCTAGGACTTGAACCCTGAGTCATTCCAGTGACCTTTTCAACAAGTCTCACGACCTGTTCTTGGCACTCCGCCTGACCTCACACCAGTATTTCTGTGGCATTAGGGCCATTTAGATTGTCCAGGCTTTGGAATTACTTTCTCCTTCCCTGGTCCTTTTTCTCCTGGATGGTCGCTTTCTGTGGCAGGAATCATGACAACCAGCTCCAGAGTCAGAATGCCTGGGTACAAGGCTGTACCACTTACTAGCTATGTGACCTTGAGGAATTTATTTATCCTCTCTGAGCCTCAGTTTTCTTTTCTGTAAAATGGAATAATAATGGTACTGACCTTACAAAATTGTTATGAGAATTAAGCAAACTCAATATGGCACATAGTAAGCTCTTAACAAATGTTAGTTATATCATATAGTACAAAAGTTAATAACAAGGACTCTGAAGACATTGAATTCAAATTTGAACTCTGCCATGAAATGGCTGTGTGACTTTGGGCAAGTTACTGAATCTCATTGTGCCTCAGTACTCACTTACAATACAGGAACAAAAATAGCTTGCCTCGGGAGGGTGTCAAATGCTTAATAAATATAAAGCCCTGAAACTAGTTTTGGTGACAAAACAGGGCTTCACATTGTTCTGGGAGCATCACTCCCATAGGCCCCCCTTTCTGCACACTGCCTCTTGCTTCATCTCTATAATGCTTCATCTTCTGCCATCACGTGGCTTCTTGTTTAAGAACTAATTGATTGGCTCTGCTGTTGGGACCACTGTCAGCTCCAAGGCTGGTAACCACACCTTCATCTGAAACATGTCTCCTAGCTCATCCCTGCCTCCAGGTGGGTTTTCCTATGAGGTACTTCCCCATCCAAACTCCCTTCAAGGCTCAGTAGAAGAGCTCCACCTTTATGAAGTCTCCCCAGATAACTTCTGCCCACAGAGGAGTATCTTTTACCATGAACTCTACACATCCATGAACATCACCTAAGGCAAAGCTCATTCTGCTGTCTGTGGTGTCTACTATTATTTTCTAGTTATCTCACATCATAATGAAAACAAAAATAATAATTACTAAGATGTATTCAACACCCTGTGCTAGTCACTGTTAAGTATTTGATATGTGCTAACTTATTTAATCTCACAACAGCCTGAGATGTAGATATTGCTATTATCCACATTTCACTGATGAGAAAACACAGGCACAATGAGGTCAAATAACTTGGTGAAGGTCACACAGCCTTTAAATAACAGAGCCAGGATTTAAATCCAGCTTGCCTGGCTCCCAAAGCCTGCAATTGTTCACATAAGCATTGCATCATTTAATCAGGAGATACCCCAGGAAACTGTGGTTTGTCTCAGGGACCCAGTCTCTCTTTATGTTGTACTTTTTCTCTTCCTTTCTCTAGTGCCTTCTCCCATTCCCTCCTTTTCAATGACTAGTATTAACGACCATAGGTACTGGGGAGAAACTGTGAACCCGATAGTTCATAAATGCTCTTGAAGAAATGAACAGAGCAGTGAAGGATGATAGTTGAAATTTCAAAAGCCCAGTTGCTAGCTACTTCATAGGCAGTGAGGCTATTCCAGCTGTACTGAAATATGCAGGAACCAAACCAAGAAGGAACAAAGTCAACGCACAGGGCTGGTTCTTGCCCAGCTTCCCCAGGGGCCTGCTTTGGCTTTGCTCCAGGCACAAGGGAAGGGTCTTCTGCTACATTCTCGCCTCCATCCTCCCTGGGGCCTGGGGTGGGGAGTGGGGAGCCACCAGAAGCCTTCTCTTTCCCCTCTTCAAGGACTGCGGTTGAGGGGTTCAGCTCTGGAGAAGGGGACCCCTGGCAGTCACCTGTGCTCAGCTCTCCCAGGTCCAGATTTTATTTTCTCCATTTCCCAGTAGGGCTAAAGTATTGAAGACTTGCTGTTGGAAGTTGTGTGCTGAAATTAAGATACATTACAATTCTCTCCTGTAAAGTGTTATATTTTAAATCTTCATGACCATAAGAGTAACTTGCCTTTCCTCTCCTCCCTGCAATCTGATTTAGCAGGTCTGGTTCAGGGGTCTGTGTAAAGAAAACTACCTTTTGAACCAGCACTTCCAGCACAATGTGAGGCTGTCTTTTGAGATAATGCTGCTTCTTAACTCTTTCCTTAATCTTTATGGTAATTATCTGGAACCTTCAGGGAACATCTTTGCAAAGGGCTGCTTCTACAACTCTATCACCTACTGTCTCTCCACTGTCCAATGAGGATTCAGAACATTTTTGTGAGAATAACCTACATTTTATTTTGAGCCCTGCAATAGTTGAGGAGAATGAAGGGAAAACATACTTAGAGCATTCCCAAATGGTGACTACCCATGGCCCTCCCAGATTTGAGAAGGGACAAGGAGCGGGCTACCAAATTATGGGGCCTGGACTTCAATAAGGCAAATGCTGGAGTCATGCCAAGAACCAAATCCCACTGTCTCTGGCTCTTCCCACATTGGAAAAGTCATGCACTCACTCTAAGAGGCAGTTGCTTACATTGTGAAAAATAATGTGCTGAGACACACCAAATGCTTGTGTAGTCTCTAGCAGAGGTGTGTGCCCATGTGTTCAACTGGCCTGGGGCTCATGGGGGGCAACTTTGTCCTTCTGAGTCCTCATGTCACCCAGTTCTGAGATCTCTAAGGCTCCAGAACTTAAGAAAAAAGTCCCTTTTTTCTTAAACTTTGGGTGCTGAGGAGAACTCATGAGAGAACGTAGATCCTGCCAAGGGCTCTCAATACTCAGCTAAATATTTACTTTAGACAAGATAACAGAACCTCCAACCAGGCCTCCCTTGGCTTGCCCATATAGAAGGGCCCAGATGAGTGTCTGAGCAACAATGGCCAGCTCTGTGCAGAGGGAATTTCCTGAGGGCCAAGCTTCAGCCGGAAGACACAAGGCCACTAATTCCAGGAAATGCCCCACCTGTTGGATATGATGACTTTACAAATAACCATGGAGGTGGGGGCAGTGGCCTGAAGTGAGCCTGGAAAATCAGTCAGGAATGAAAGGTGACATTTTACATGTAAAAAAGAAAATTCCCATGGAACCTGACTACAGGGTGGTCCTCAAAAGTCCCAGCTGTCACCAGATCTCACACCTCCTCTTCAAGGCCCTGTATTCACTCCTCTCTGTTTTGACCTAGCATCCCAGCTTTAAGATCCTTGGCTTTATGTTAAATAATTATCTCGGCAAGGGCCCTGTTGGAATGTCTCCTCACATAGGCATGGTAATTAACACAGGTTTAAAATAGCACAAATAACTACCAAACGTTAAGTACATGCTCTGTGCTAGTCATTGTGCTTGGGCACACATGTATGAGAACGTTTAATCCTCCCAACAAACTAATGAGGAGATACTATTTATTCTCATGTTATGGTAGAGGGAAGAGGTTAAGGGAGATAAAGAAATGTGAGTAAGTTTCCAAAGCTAGTGAGAGTCAGAGTTGGGCTGAGGCCAAAGTTGAGAGTCTACAGTCTTGGGCTGAAAGTGTGGTCTTTGGAACAGAGATAAAGGCAACTTGTCAGACACGCAGCATCTGGGACCCCATCCAAGACTTCCTGAGTTGAGATCTGCATTTTAAAAAGTTCCCCAGGTGGATTCATGCACACACTGACGTTTGAGAAGCTACATCATCAGACTTTAAAAACCCATCACCCCATATTTGCATGCCCATGTTGATAGCAGCATTATTCACAATAACCAAGAGGTAAAAACAACCCAAGAGTCCATTGATGGATTAATGAATATAGAAAACATAGGATATACATACAATGGGTCATTATTCAGTCTTAAGAAAGGAAGGAAATTCTGATGCATATTACCACATAGCTACATTTTTAGGACATTATGCTAAGTGAAAGAAGCCAGCCACCAAAAGACAAATACTGTGTGATTTCACTTATATTAAGCACTTATAATAGTCAAAATTATAGACAGGAAACAGAACAGTGGTTGCCAGGTTCTGGGGGAGGGGGCAATGGGAAGTTTCTATTTAATAGGTATAGATTTTCAGTTTTGCAAGATGAAAAAGTTCTGCAGATTGGTTGCATGACCCTGAGTATATTTAACACTACTTAAACATTGTCAAAATGGTAGATTTTATTAAAACAGCTACAATTTTTAAAAAAGCTCATCACCATGTAATGTATTAAGCATGGTAGAAGGTCAGCCGTGGGAGCTGGTGGCAGCTTAGGGCAGTGTAAACTGATCAGACAGGCTCAAGGGCATTGCTCCTGTGGGGGTCTTCAGCCTTTAGGCTATATGAAGATATATCTTGAATGTAGATCTAGGGAGGAAAAGTGGGACCTTTTTGCGGTAGTGGTGGGACCTTCCAGAAAGACCAAGTTCAAATTCTACTAGCAGTTCTGGGAGGTGAGTGGCTTATCTCCGACAGCCTGTGCCACCAGACAGATGGAGAAGCTTTGGTAGGGCCACTGTGATGAGGGCCAGACAGGCATAGGGGAAGGGCACAGCTATAGTCATGACACTAGGACACTCTGGAGTGCAGGTAGAGCTAACACTGTTGCTGAGATCACCTCATGCTCTGGCTTTCTCCCCACAGGCCTGGGTTAACTAGAGCTCTGCACTGATCCTGTGAATCCACAGGAAACGTAAGCATCTGCCTCCTCTCAGTCTATGAGCAAGTTGCTGCACCTGACTGTATGGGGTAGAGCCTGGGGTACATACAGAAAAGACATTGGGAATCTAGGTGAAACTATGAAAGACACAAAAACAGAAAAATAGGAAGTGCATGAAGTCATAAAACAAAATCCTGAGAGTAGGTTCAAACATTTTAAATATGACATTAAATGCGAATAAATTATACTCCACAATCAGTCAGATTTACTCAGATTCTATTTCAAAGGGAAAAAAGGCCTTAAAGACATGTTGTTTATATAAGAACTATTAAAGCAAAGCAATATATTAAAGGTTAAACAAAAAATAAAGGACAAAGATAGGAGAACACAAATACAAAAACAACGTTGACAATTGGAATAGAAGACAATGAATTAAAACTAAAAAGTACCAAGCACGGCAAAAGGACATTTTCAATGCAAAAATGAATAAATGAAGCTGTGACAATGGTGACAGATTAACATAACACTAAAATATCTTTTTAAAAAATCAGCAGAAAAAAAGAAAACATTATAATAGGAGAAATAATAATAGCAGAGATATAACATTTAATATGTGCCAGGCCTGGTTTTAAGGCAGCTTAAAATGTTAACTAATTTAATTATCATAGCAATCATGGGAAATCAGTACTACTATAATCATTGTTTTACAGAGGAAGAAACTGAGACACAAAGAGAATTACATCAATCTCCAAGATTTCATAACCCCCCCTAACATACTTTGTCTCTGGTACGTGGAGTAGGCTAAGGAAGAAATAAACCAATAAAATAATAATAATAATAATAGTAATAATAATAGAGTACTTATCTCCCCATTAGTTAAGGTAAGCTCCCATTAACTTCCCAAAGCCAAAATGACTTGGATAATTTGTCAGGAAAAAGCTTAGATAATATCTATGACCCATTTAGCTGTATCAGTTTGTGATTATCATGCACACTCAAAGTAAAATGAATCCTTTGAGAACACCCATCCTTCTCAGTCCTCAAAATCTGCCTTATAGTCATTGTTGGCTGTTTCACAGAGCAGATCTCCAGACCTAAAGGTGGCAATATAGTTAAGGAAGGAAGCCTGGGGGATGTTCTCTTGATTTCAGACAAGTTGTGACCCAATAGATATATTAATATCTGTTTATGTTTATTACTCTCTACCCCCATTTGTAACATTTTCTCAAAGGTCCTAAAAAAAATTTTAACACAATTTCCATCTGTGATATTCCCAGGAAATCAGAAAAATGTGACAAGGAAAAATATCACAGATGTGGATTTACTCACCAAAGGATGAACAATAGACTCTAAATTCAAGGTCATTGTAATGTGGGAAGAATAAATCACAATGATCATGAAGCACAACGTGGTTCTCCTTGGATATTTCATTTCTTCAAGTGTGGGTTGCTTTGCCTGAAATGGAAATGTGATGGTTTAGAGATAGAGCAAGTTATTTATAAAACAATGGAGAGAGCTTGCAAAACCCTAACTCGAAGGTTGCATTGGAAAAGGACCTTTTCAACAGGGAATAGAAGGAGTATAAAGGTATCAGCTCTAGAGTCCTGCTCCAGACCCCTGGGAGAGGAAATGTAAGGAAGGATGGGGGATGGTCCTTGTAAATAGGACAAAGGTGGCTGACTTTGGGGTTCATTTCCTATTTACATAGAGAAGGAGAGAGAGAAGGAATGAGAAAAGAGAAAGAAAGAGAGAAGAGGGAAAGCAAGAAAAAGGAAAACATTATTCAGTAAGAAATACTTTAACATTGGGATCCAGTACACATAATATATGAACAAAAGGATTCAGAGATTAATACTTACCTTTGCTACATACAACACATTCTGATATTTTCAAGTCTAGTCTATCTTATCTTACCTTATTTTTTTCTTTTAATTCTGGTAGCAACCAGAATTAACTTCATGACCCATATTAATGGGCTACAACCCATAAATGTGGAAAATCCTAGACTTAAGTCATAAAATTATAAGTTGTATTTTGTAGTCTTTTTATAGTCAAAAAGATGTTAATTTATAGTATGTAATGGAGAATATTAATATCACACAATATATTTCATCCTATCTATTGATCCTTGGTAACTATCTTTTTATAACATGGCATTTAAAAAGTAGGGTATCATATGGAAGGCTCCCTACCCTTGTGGGTCTGGGGACCCAGACAAACTATCTTGTTGAAACTCCTTTCCCCACTGACTTTTCTATGTCAGGTAGGGATTAGGATCCAGGATCACTATAAACTGTGTTTCCTTGAATAAGTCATTTCTCTGAGTCCAAGTCCCCAATCTGTGAAATGGGGATAATTATGTAATACCTCCTCTAATTCTCCCACAGACTTTTCTGAGACTCAAACACAATTCAAAGCCATGAAGAGCTCCAGGGATGCAGTCTTCTGTGGGTTTCACCCTGGTTGCTAGTGGAATCCAGAGGGCAACCATCAGGAAGGGCAGTCCTTGGCCCAGGTACGGAAGACAGGGCCTAGGGACCGTGGCCAGGATAATACAGAAATGACAGCCAAGACTTACATGCTGGGGAGAGTTGTGTTTCAATCACCAGCTGCCAGATGCCTCCTTTTCCTTTTCCCCATTGAAAAGAGGGAAGTATAAGGCCCTGGAAAACTGACCCAATTGGCAAACCTGGCAATCAAATACATTTTTAAAATTCTGCAACTCAGTGTTGTTTTGGAAAGTGCTTTGCAATGTAGGTTATAGGAACACATATTTAAGACCAGGTACATTTACTGTAGGGAAATCATAGCAACTGGTTGCTTAGTTCTCTATTAGAGGTTTTTTCTCCTTTGTTGAAAGGGAGTGCACTTTTGTGGATATTGAGTAGACTGATTTAGCCTGGTGATAGCAGCTGTTCCTGGGATGAACTGAACATGTAGGAGGCAACCTAAGTTTTTTCAGGCCCCAACTTAGAGCGCTGTATTAGCTGGTTCCATAGTGAGGCAGTTAATCAGCAGATAAGACTCAGTAACTGAATGGTTAATGAGTTTCCTTTAGCATTTGACACCCAGGGAGGGACTTAGGTATTAGAGGGACTCAAACTGACTCCATATCTTTCCACCATTTCCTAATGTTCTTGTCAAGTTAGCAAGAACTATAATGTCCCTAAATGGTTATGCCTCGTCCTTTCATACAGGCCACCAGCCATGTCAGCTATCTCCATCTTCCTTCCCCCAGACTCCCCCAGGACAGCTCCTGATTAAATCAACATTCTTTTATCAGTGGATGTATTTGGTGACAACAAAATCACAAGTCAACAGAAATAGAGATGAGGGAAGCCCCTGCTGTGGGGAGGGGGTTCCCTGGATGCAGAAGAATGACAACAGCTACGTACGTATAGTCATCAGTTACACATAAGTGTGAGGGGTTCACCACCTGAAAGGAGAATGCCACCACTTTGAGAGGGAGGTAATCTCAAAATATTTGACAACCAGTATGTCATAAACCTGACCAACCTGAACAGTGACACCAGTTGAAAAACAGTACAGCTTTTGAAGCTACTACATTTAGGAGGAGATCTGAAGATAAACTGTTCTTACCTAACCCTCCAGTTCACAGCTGTTCTTGTCTGTGAGGGAGCCAGTGGAAGCTGTTTAACTTGGCTAATGGAGGCAGAATCTTAATTTATCCAGTTAAAAGCTAGGAGCATTAATCCACATTCAAGGCAATCTGTCTTCAGTAGGGCTCCCTTAATCACAAATCCCCTAGTAGTACATTTTTATTACAAATTCCTGGAGTAAAGGAAAGACAATTACTAAGAGATACAGAGACAAACAGAGGCAGAGACAGAGAGAGAGAAGATGATCTGATGTCATTCTCAACTTCTTTCTCTCTTAAAAAGATAAGTCCTAAACACTCTGTACTTCAACTCACCAACCTGTGTGAGCAAGCTGTATCTTAGAAAAAGTTGGGAAATGTGATCTCATGACCAGCCTAACCCTGTGGCGATGACCAACTTCCTGTTCTCTGACTCTATATTCCTGTCTGTGAAGTTAGAAGAGAGGGAGAGGGAAGTCTAGCCCACTGACATCATATGCCAAGAATAAGTCATCAGGATTCTCAGGAGCATGGCGTCTGGAGGATGAGGGTCTAGGTTCCTTGAAACAGTCGATGATGACGTTCTCCTAGAGAGTAATTATGTGTCAGGAGCATTATTGTGAAATGGGCCTGAAATGCATCATGAAACCATTCTCACAAATCTTAGAAATAACCAGTGCTTAAGATGAACTGCTCTTTTGGACATGTTTCATCAACCTTGACCTACCCAGTCTGCAGTAGGAAAAGGACTGAATGGGCTTGCGTATCTTGCAAGTTCAAAGCATGTTCACCAGATGACCACATCTGTGCGGCCATCATCAAATTGTGATTCCAAGCTCTTTTTAAATAGGGCAATAGTAGGATTCTTTCCTGGAATAATTTATTTCCTAAGCTATACACTGTTCTGTCTTCCCATGCTTCCCTGGAATACTTGTCTCTTCTCTCTTGGGGAGCCCAGCCTTGATACTCTCCTTGGTTCCTCTTGGGGAATAGGAAAGTAAGAGGTGAAAGTGAGCCCACATTTGACCAGCCTCTGGACCAGGTGTCTTCTCCTTCCTTCTTCTTGGGGCTCTGCGTCTGGCTCTAGCCTAGCACACAGCCCCTCTCCAAGCACTGCCAGGGACCACCACCTTAGAAGGCAGTTTCCTAGAGCATTTGTGTAACATCTGTGTCAGTAGTTTTTAATCCCTGGCTGGGCATCAGGACCATCACCCAGGGAATTTCTTTTGTTTGTTTGTTGTTTCAATATAATCCCAGAGCAATTAAGTCAGAATTTCTAGGGAATAGGAGCTGAGAGTCTGTATCCACCCCAGCTGCTTCTGATGCATATTGGGGTTGGGGTCTCCAGATCCACATCTTCAGCATTCCATTGCACTTTCTGTATTGCCCTTCATACTCCTAGTCCTTCCCATCACCACCCTATAGTTCTCCTTCTACTTAAGAAACTATGTAGAAATAGGATCTTCAGGGGGATGCATTTAGGAGGCAATCAATCAATGGTGGATGAATGAATGGATTAATGAGAGTATGGACTCAGAGGTGATCTACCCAATAGTTTTGATGCAATTCAATAGCCCACAGGAGTTATAGAACAGAAGCCACAAGTGGCTCATGGGACTGCTAAACATCACCCTTTGGGCTGCTTTGTTCCCTTTGAAACAGGCAGCTGACTCGTTCCCTTTGAAACAGGCATATGCCACTCTCCTTTGCCTGAAATTCTCTTTTATATGATATACTATATCCTATAGTATCATATGTGTTGTGCACTTACAGGCTGACAAATATAGGCTACTTTTTACTGGCCCAAAATTATGCTATGCATTCACAAATTGAAATGAGTCATGGCCCTTGCACCCAAGAAGCTCTAGATCTTGTTGGGAAGACAGGAAACATACATTTAGGAAATATGGACTAAAAGGAAAACATAGCTTGAAAGACACAATAAATGCCTGGTTTGTACCAGACACAGTGCTAAGTACAATAAATGTTAATTCACTTATTTACCACTCATAATAACACTGTGAGGTAAGTATTTTAATCCTAATTCATAGATGAGAAAATAAAGGTCCATAAAGCTTACAGAACCCAGGCCACCCAGCTAGTAGGTATCCAAGTCATATCTGCCTCCAGGTTGTCCTGTGGCCAAAGTGACTTGGAGTGTGCAAGTGATAAGCATGACAGAGTTGAGGACAGGGGGAAGTTGGGTGAGCTTTGGAGTGACCAGGGTCACTGGCCAGGCCCTGAAGGATGATGGGCAATGTTTCAATGTCTAACAGAGAAAGAAAAGAGTGTTTCAGGCAAAGGAAGCAGTGTGAGCAGAGGCAGCTATCTCTGTTTCAAAGGGAATAAAGCAACCCACAGCGTGCTTTGTGGAAGCAGCCCCATGAGCCACTTTTGGAAGTTCCTTTGAGTAGCTTGGCCAGCCACTATAACACTGGCTCTGACTTGGTGCTCGGGAGGACACTGCTCTCCTGAACAATCACTGTTACCAAAGAAGACAGAGCTTTTTAACTCTAACTTGGAAAGAGAATGAATGTGATGGCCTAAAGCTCAGGTGATTCCCTCCTTCCTGTAGTGGAAAGAAGAGCAACTTTGAAGCAAAACAGGCTTGTGTTCTGATTCCAACTCCACCATTTATAACTATGAGAGAGACATTTAACCCTGCTGAGTCCCGGTTTCCTGACATGAATAACAAGGGTCACAGCACCTGTCTTGTAGCAGCGTCATAAAGATTAGAGGTCATGCCTAGAAAGCACAAAAGGGCTTGGTCATAGTTAGAATTTGTTATGGGCTGAGTTGTGTTTGTTCAAAATTGATATGTTGAAATCCTAACCCCCAAATACCTCAGAATGTAATC